ATAAAAACTCCTGTTTCACAGAAATTGCTATTATGTGTAATTTCCTCTGTTCTTTCCCTTAAACGCTAGACTATAAGCTCCTAGGGAGCAAGGCCCAAGAATTTCTCATCTTTATATTCTAGCACCTACTACAATGCCTGTAAATTGGAAATACTTATTAACAAATGCCTGAAGAATGAACAAACAAGTGAACCTACCTCAGTTCAAAACCTTTTAAAATTAATTTCATCTTACAGTTTCACCTGTCAGGGTCTTTTTAATTATTGACTGTCCAACACATTAGATAACACTTCCAGCTTTATGTCCTCTGAATATTTGATAGATATCATCCAAATCACTGATACAGATTTTGAACATGACAGGGTCAAACACAAAGCCTATGCTTCATCATTGGTGACATCTCGAGAGATTATCCTAGGTCACACTGTTCGGCAGCTTCTACACCCATCACACCTGTTAACTGATTACCATCTGGCTCTTATTTTTAACCCTTTGAAAAGATATCACAAACATTCTGTCAATGCCTATTTAAACATACCTGTTTGAATCATAGATCTGACCCTTACTGGCTTATTACTTGAGCAAATTATTTAGTTCCTTTCATCATCAGTTCATCAATTTTGAAAGAAGGAATAATCCTTATAAACTGATGATAAGAACAACTAAGAAAAATCTATCTGCAGCAGCCAGCATTGGTCCTGGAACATACATAGGGCTGGACATATGGTAGCTGTCATTATTTTTGCTGAATGTGATGTATGTTGTATCACCCTTTCTGATTAATTTAATATTATAATGGGATTCAGGAAACTACAGTCTCAGATATTATATACATAGTAACCCTAGCAATTAGTATAATATGCTTTATTTTGAGTAAACATATTTTGACTCCTACTGAGTACTCTATTTTTTCCATGCTTGACAGATACTGGTTAAGTAAGCAATTCTTAAATTTTACTGGAGATCAAATTCAGTTTGTTTCCTCTATTTTATTTTCATTTATAAAACCTGGAATGGCATTTCACTTGTTTTTATCCTGTGATAAATTTTACATTTTCATAGTTTTGCAAATATTTTTCATAAGTGGCTTTTAATCATACTTGTAGATTCCAACAGTACTCTAGGATATAATTCACCTGGGCCTTCAAAGTCAAACTCATTTAATTAGCTAAGAGTGTGTATACTCTTTCTTACAGTCTAGTAGCATTTTGTAGTGGATTTCAAACCTGATTCTAATAAATTTTAACCAAGGCTCTGCAGGCTACTTAAATTTTCTCAGCATTAATTTTCAGAGTTGTAATACAATGCTTGTTTTGTAATACAATACAAATAATCCCTATTTTGGTAAGGTTGTTAGATAGATTAAATAGGATAGGGCTTACTTAACCACAGTAGCTTCTGTTATGAGTCTATTTACTCTGTATAGGACTAATTGCTTTCTTACAGATATCGATAACATTTAAGAGAAGAAGGGCACATCAATAATGAAGACTTGTTTTTCTTTTCATTTTAAAATGAATTGTGATAGAGTAAAAATATACTTTCACAAACTCTTTGGTCTTGAGGAAGCTATTTCAGCTGGCTGAGACTGCTTTTCAATGTGAAATACAGGAGAAATACTGACTATGGAGTGTAGTGACGATTCAATGAGATTTTATGTATGTAGAGAAATAGAGAGATAGAAAGACAAATAAAAAGATAGATGTGTTATATATAAATTCTGAAAAACTATCTATCTATCTATCTATCTATCTATCTATCTATCTATCTATCTATCACCGATCGTGTCTGTGTGTGTACTAATTAGTGTTAGTTCACTTACTTTCTCTCCCCTTCCTGGCTTGGATTCAATATCACTTAGGTTTTACTCTTCCATTTTGAAGAAAATTTTCATTAAGAGACAATAGTTACTGAGCTATTAATAACACCATGGCAATGTGTAGGATTTATTAATGCTTAGGATGAAGAAACACTTCTCTTGTGTCATGAATTATAAAGAGAATAGTTATGAAGTGATGTGGGTTTTATTTAGCAGCTGAAATAATTAGCCTTTAAAGTTTCCTATCGTTTTGTTTCTTTACCCATATTTTTTTAAGGAAAGTGTAAAGAAAAAAATAGATAAGTGAGACGGTGTAGCATAGCGCTAGAGATAAGTTTTTACCTGTTCTGATTAATCATCATCTCATTGGTTCTTAGACCATAAATGGTAGGTAAAATGTATACTAATTATTCTCTTTATCATCATCATAATCTTCATTATCACTATCACATCTATGGAGCTTACCATGTGCTAAGTACTCCATTGATCCTTATAAAAACTCTATGACTAGGCACTGTTATTATCCTCATTTAATAAATGAGAAAACTAAGACCCCAATGAGGTTTATATAAACTGCCTAGACTTCCACAGCCCACAAGAGAAGAAGGCAGGGTTTGAATGAAGGCAGTGACCCCGGAGTCATGTTTACGACCACTCTACTGAAGTAGAGGGCATTGCACTGTGTGATGGATATGATATTAAACTGGGATTCACACTACAGAAAAGAAATCAGTATGCTTCAGTTTCCTCAGTTATAGCATCAAAGTTGTAATAACTATTTCCTATTTGCCTCAAGGCGCTGTTTCAAAGATAAACAAAGTTGCCTAAATTCAAAAGTTGTAAATTCCTTGAAGTAACATATAATAAATCTGAGCACAATAACTCACTAGCTGTGCATCTCTGATGCATGTATGTATTTATTTTTTACTTCATCTATGGATACCTCAGAAAATAAATTAGCGTTTAAGATTCTTAAGGCACAAATATAGCTAAAACAGCCAACTGGTCCAAAAAGCACAGTATATAGACAACAACTTTTATTGTAAAAAATAAAATTAAACTGTATCCTTTATGCGTTATTCTAAATTAATCACATAAACTGTACATAACTCTGTTAAAAATAACAGTGAAGATTGTATAAGAAAAATAAATGCATTTAATTATCACTTAAGAATGTATATTTTGACTTTGTGTGGTGAACTCAAAATGAAATATACAGGTGATGTGTTACAGAATTGTATACTTGAAATTTAATTTTATTAACCAATGTCACCCAATATATTTAATAAAAATAAAGTAAAAAAAAAGTGATAAAGATGGTATTTGAATCCTGGTCAGACTTCTCCAAGTTTGCCCTCAGTATTGTCTTCTGTGGGTTTATGAAAGCTTATTCTCATTGATTAAAAAAAAGAAAAAGAATGTATAAATTAACCCCTCTCCTGAAAATTATTTATTCAATTTTACAAGCCAACAGACAGGTGAAACAATACTACACCAAAACGAAGCAGTAATTATTTCAGGAATTCAAAGATAGTTAATATCATCTATTCATATGATCATACCTTAACCATATCTTCACCCTTACTACATTCCTCACAAATAAGCATATGATAAATTTAATAGCCTACTTGGCTGGAAAAAGAAATCTTCAAAAATCCTCATCAGAGAATATACTTTTATTGATTTGAGACACAGAGAAAGAGAGAGAGAGAACTAGGTAGGCACCGATGTGCCCAGTAATGGGCAAAACTGGGAAAACAAGGACCTCACCCCCAGGGTAACCTTTTCTCCCCTAGCATATTGCTTGCTGGTCATTTGGTTTAAACTCCCTGACCTTTTATATTGCTGGTCATGTGGTTCAGACGCTTCCCTGACCTTCTTCCCCTGATATGTTGCTCGTCATGTGGGTTAGACTTCCTTAGAGGGGGAATGGACAAAGGGCTGAAAAATAGCCCTTAAGCAGTAAGACCCCAGGACAATGAAGTTATGACATGCATCAAATACACCCGGGCCTTAGTTATGTTTCAGCTCCAGGCCCAGAAAAAGAACAAAACCAGACAAGTGACACCATGGCTGACATCAGAACCGGCTGCATTGACTAATGGCCCCCTGCTTTGGCACTGAACAATCAGTGGAGACCATGACCCTGAAAGGACATACCTGGAAAGTTGACAAACATTCTATTGTGATCGTCACCTAAAATTCCCACCCGAAAAGTCCTTAGGACTGAAGACTCAGCGATGCTCTTTCTATGGAGCATGCCCACTCTTTTCTCCAATCCCTTCCCCCAGGCATGTTTTCCTTGTCTCTCTCTCTCTCTTCTAAGCTCCTGGTACCCTCCTTTTGCCTCTGTAACTTATTTCGTGAGCCTATTTCTTCTATGGCTTCCTTCTTCTACTTCTGTGACTTTGAAAATAAATTTCTCTTATAGCTTGAGCCTTTTATTTGAATACTTTCTTAGCTGGAACTCCAGTACCTGATTAACTCCACTGGTCCAACACCAAAATAGTGGTGCCATTTTGCCCACCAAAAGGATCATGCCAAAATAACTAACTAATAAGAGTAGCTGGAATTCTAAAGGATATGGTTAAATTATGGGATATCCTATTCCATAAGGATACAGAATATCTAGTTTACAGAATATCTAGTAACGTATTATGCGCACAATATGTACATTTAAAAAACAGAACATAAAACTGCACCTATGGTATTACATAAACCATATCTATAACACATGCATAAAATTGATAGGAAATACCTAAAATATGAAATGTTTGTCTTAAGTTGAATTTTGGATGACTTCAATTTTCTTCCTAATACTTCTTTATAATTTTCAAATTTCTTATAAAAAACTTATTATTGTTTATAATCAGAAAAAACCCTAGTGTGATTTTTTACATAAATAATTGTGTCCTTGGCTCTTGTTCTAAGATGCTGTTAATATTTTATATTTTGACATGAGTAGTAGTTTTCCCAATTATCATTTTTAAATTACTTTTAAAAATGTGTAATATGATAAATGCCTTTTTTCCTGCATGTTTTATCACACACACACACACACACACACACACACACACACACACACTCCCTGAAGTTTAGCTGGCCTCTGCACACGGTATCAGAGCATGTATAAAGAGAAATGAATACGTAGACCTTGTTCAAGAAAGACTCTGGTGAATACCTGGCATATGGAGGTTTCAGGGTCACAGAGGCTGCTGTGTCCATTACACTGACATGGGACACAGGTGCCCAGCGTGGGTCCAGGGGTGCGGCCGCCTGGCCCAGAACGCAGTCGATAAAATCCTGGCATGCATGTCTGAAAGAAAAAGGAGCCAATTAGAACGGCCACCTTGGAAATCTTGCTTTAGCAACTTGGGTCCTCAGGGTAGTTAAAAAGGGCTTCTTTCCCCCTCACCTGCATTAAAGGCAACATCACTTACTAACACAAGTGGCAATTTTGATTTCTAATGTGTACTTCTGCCTGGTCCCTAGAGTGTAGAGACAGCATCTGTGTCATGATATTTTAGCAAAAGAAAGCTGTCATTTGCATATAGCACTCAGCCTGAAAATGTTTTGAATAGTCCTCTTTTTCTTAAGTAAGAGATTTGTTTTTAAATAAAATTGTCCTATGAAGTAAAGAGAGAATTTCAATGTTTTTACAACCTAAAATCTGCTTCTTTTGTGCTTGATGGATAACTAGCAAGTATCCAAAAAGACTCAGAAAAATCAAATCAATAAAAAAATGTCGTGGCTGCATTATTTATATTGGTGTAATTTAAAGACTATTGTAGTAAGAAATTCAAAATAATAAAAGCTCTACATGTCTTGGAAATATTAGGCCACTAATAAAATTTATCTTTCCCTGATTTTTTTTTTCATTTTGCAATAAAAATCTGAGAGCAAACAGAAAACTGCTAGCTAAGCTGACATATGCTAAATGAAGACTTCCATTCTCATTCGGGTTTATTACATAAATGTATCAAAAACATCTCTGACTTCCTGGAAGGAAGCCCACAGCTCCCATTCTCTGGAAAATGAGAACAGTCTTATGTTCTGGGTTCAGTCTTCATATGTAAAGCTGCTGTCTTTATCAGACTCTGATTTATGAGTAAGAGGTAGTTTTTCAGGTACCACTGAAGATTATAAAGGGACTATTTTTATCACTGTGGCTTTGTAGGATTTTTATACAGGCTATCTGGCTCCCATTGTTGAAAGAAAAGTGGTTGCTGAATAAGCAGGGGGAAAAATTGGATTAAGAACTTCTTAATGCCTCTGCATTCTTCTGGTTCTGAACCAGGTCCTCCCTAGTGGAATATGCAAAGAGGTTCCTTACAAAGAGAAAAAAGATCAATAGTCAGCGCTCTCCTTGTTTACTTTAGTTCAGATAATGTGAAAGAACCTCAATTAAGCGCTTAAGAGTCTCTGCTTTTATCACCGCCTATAAAAAATTCTAATAAGATTTAATAATGTTTCAGCTTTGAGCAAGCTAATAAAACCAGGAATAGTATTCAAAATATTTTGAGTCTCACTTATCTTCATGTTTTATGGTGGACAGTATGATATATTTTAATAAGTTTATTCATATCATTAAAAATCAAGGTTGATTTTTCCATTTTTACCAAATAAAGTCTTGATATTATGGCCAACAAATTCATTTAAGCATAATTGAAGAAACACTTCAAGGTGTGTTTAAAAAATACTACGATGTGGTTGTTCCAATTCTTTAGCATGCTGTTGAATAAAATTTGATTTTCTTTACATGGATTTCATCCTTGGATACCTATATAATCATTGTTATTTTACTGGTATAGTTGTTTGGGGGTGTGTGTTGGGGGGGTGTGTGTGTAGAAATCGCAGATTGAGAATTCTTAGTTCTACTTTATATCTCAAGCAAAAATTTAAGACATGTTCTAGAAGGACAAAGTTAAGAAACAGCACTTTCATTGAAGAATCATATGGTATTCAATATTATACACTAAAATATGAACCTGAGTGCCACAGGTAAACTATACTGTAACATACACTCAATTTCTCCCCTTACTATGGCTCTTCCCTGAAAAAGAAGTAGGACCCCTACTGGGAGACCAAGCCTGAGCTCCAAGTAGAGTTCTGGGTAGAACCTTCCAGACTTCTCTAGATAGTTCTCAACCCTGGCTGAACAGAGAATCATCTGAGAAGTTTTAAATACTGATGCTTGGCTTCACCATTAGAGATTCAAATTTAATTGGTGGAGCGTAAGGCCAGCGTTTGTTTTAAAACTCTTAGGAAGGTCTAATAAGTAGCTGGGATTGAGAATTGCCTGCATGCTCCTCCTATGTGTGAATTTAAAGGGCATGCAGCCTCTGGTAGTGCAACAGAAATGAATATAGAAGCCTTGACTTGACAAATGAGTTCTGTCTGGGGATACAGGCATGTCTCTTGGTGTCCTTAAAACACAGTTTCCTCATCCCACATGTGAGCAGGCATATGAATCCAGATGGTTTCTGAAGTTTCTTTCAGTTCTAACATGCTAGATTAATTTTGTTTTCTTATAGATTCAATTTCTAAGAGTTATCAAGGAAAAAGACTTCCATGATGCAAGAGTTAGAAACTTTAAAACATATTTTAAAGGAACGGGACATATTTATTTCTCTTTAATCCTGCCTTTTCTTGGATCCTCTTTGTATTTATTATTTCCTTTAAAAAATTTTTTTTCAATAGCAGATTCAGTGGACTGGGAAAAATTCATGAGAATGATTGCATTTGATTTTGGAACAAAAGAGGAAAGATAACAGCTACTTTTTAAAGTCCTGTCTAAAATTCTTTCTGGAACAAAATTTGGAGTTAAAGAAAAGCGAATAAATAAACACTGTTCTAATTTTTATTTTTTTTTCCTAATTCAAACTTTCTCAAAATTTCCCTGTGCTAAAAATTCACCCCCCAATTTTCTTCTGCTCTCTTCCCATATTTAATTTATTTTCATAATATGATATCTCATCAAAATATTAGAATCAAATTTACTCAAAAATGTTGGAGGGTGGACAGAAGGGACTGTGAGACAGAGTAACAAGCCAATATGCTCCAGGTGCAGCATTACACAACACCTACTTCTTTCCTCAGAGTTTAACAATACAAACAGATACTTGTGCTATTGAAAATGAAAGCACTATCTTGTATGTTTACATGGGTTTTGTAATCGGCAATCCCAAATTTGATTCCTCTTCCACCAGTTACTACACATTTTGTTCAGGTTTTGAATACTGTGGGCCTCAGTTTCCTCATCTGGAATATAAGGGTGTTGTATAGGGTAATAGGTGGATATAAATACTTATATGTCTAGTGTTTTGAAACAGACATGTCTAGGTTCAAACCGCAGTTTTGCTGTTTTCTAGCTGTGAGATCACGGGCAGTTTTTTTAACCTGCTTGAACGTCCATTTCCTCACCTGTAAAATGGGGAGCATATCACATACTCAATGATGTTGGTGTAAGTGTATTAGGAAATGTGCTTGACATTGTTCAGGATATAGTAAACACTCAGTAAGTGGTAAGTTTTATTTTTAGAGGGTTGTTATGAGGATTAAATAAGATAAATGTATACTTAGCACTTAACATATAAAAAATCAATATGGGTATGTCTATCCTGGATAATTTAAAAAATATAGTCATTGAGAATATATTAAAAAATAAAGGCAACAGTGATTGTTCTAAGTTGCACTGGGAAACAAAATTGCAATGTCGGCCATTTAGCCATACCATTCCTTAATATTTTTATGTGCCTGAACAGAGTCTTAGGGTCTTTCATGTGCAACAGAAATGGTAAAGGTTATCTCAAGAGGTGTGTGTATGTAAAAAGAAAAGTCTGTGTTCACTATTTTGTTTTCTGAATTTAATGAACTGATCATAGGTATAAACTGGGTTATAAAAGCATTATTTTTACTAGACAAAAGTGACAGCTTCAGAGTAGGGACCTAGTAGACATCAACTATTTAACTGTGAGCCAAACATCCTGTCAAACCTGGGGTAGGGGAAAAGGGGTGAACCGATCAATATATGACCTACATATTTCTGTTTTACATAATCTCATTGCAGAGAATCATGTATTCAGTGGTGAATATTTTTTATTTCTGCATACAACATAACGTGAGTTAGGTCAGTTTAGGCAGTAATGTTAAGAGGATGATGAGAAGTAGCTTAGATATTATGTTAAATTCAATGGCTCCCATACCAATTTGTGTGGTGAGGAAATTGTGTCCTTTATTTGACTTCTAAAGGTAATATGGTCTCTGCTTCAAGTCATAAATTATAATAAGGAGGCATTTCTAGAACTAACATTTTCAATGAATAGGGCTGTAATATTGTAACACTACAGGTAACAGACAAAGGCTAAATGTCTTCCCAAATGGTTATATTTCCAGTGGTAACACTCGATTTTGTTTGTTTGTATCTTATCTTGGGTAAAAACATTGAAATGAATAGCTTGTAATAGCAGGCATCTCTAGAATACCATACAATTGGTGAAAATGTGGTAAAGGAATTGCTTTGTGTATTGATGACCCAAAGCATATGTTACTGGAATGGGATGTGTTATTTCCAAACTGTCCTTAGCTTTTGCTTTGATGATTAGATTTTATGCCTGGGTAATTACATTTTTGAATCAAGATGAATTATAAATAAGATATATAATGGATTAGAAGCAATGGGTTGTGGAGGAGACCTCCGGTACCTTATTATGAGAGATGGGCCTTTATCTTCATAACCTCCCCACTAAGACATTACTGCAAGTGTTGTCTGTAAATAGGAGCCCAAGTGAATGAAGCACACAAGGAATAGGTGAGCTACCAATGCCAATGATAGTTTGCATGTATTCCTAATTTTTCTTGATTTTCTTCATTTATCATTTGCTTCATTTATGCTAGTTTATATTTTCATGTAAAAGAAAATTACTAAGCTTAATGGGAAAGCATGTTAGAACATGCTATTTATAAAACCTACTGATCACAATAAGGACAGTTTTTAACATTTAAAATATGGAATGAAGGTAGACTATATTAATATAATTTGCTGTCCCACTAACATTTTTGTTCATAAGTGAAAGAGTATTATTTAAATAAATGCAGAAAAAAATATATATCTGTAGTAACTTTCTCTTCAAGATATTTACAAGTCAATCTTGACTACTTCCTGAATAGTAAAATATTGCAGAATCAGAAAATTTTAGAACTCCAAAGGCTGATCACTAATTTTTTAAATTGGGTGACTATATAACAACTAAGGCCTACGGTAATTAAGGAACTGACTAAGATTACACAGTGAGTCAGAAGTATAGCCTAATACTTCTTAGGATAAGAAAAATAAATTCACTTCTTTTCTAGGAAAATCTCAAGTTCTTTCTGTCTTCTACCTTTAAACCTCTTGTGCTCATTGGAAACATAGCATATTTTATATGTGCCATACTATCTCTTTTTTCCCATACACACTATGTGCATATGTGTATTTGGGTGGATTGTGTATATAATCGCAATCTATGTTCTTACTGGTGTGCACACAAATATATATATATTTATTTATACGCACACACACATATGTATGTAGGAGTTCTGATTTAATAATGAGATGGATTATTTGATGTTATTGGACCAAATGGACACATTCAAATGAATATTTCTTTTCAGAACAGTGACAACCAAAGCCATAACATTATTCCTGGGATGTTTCACAAGAAATTTGTGGTTATTCTTAGGGAATTGTCCTCTGAAAAACCTAGAATCCATATATTAGGTTACTAAGTTGAATGACACTTCAGTTGACAATGGGGCTCTCACATATATATTTTCATTTAAATTAATCCTCACGATGATTGTACAGGTAAACAAAGAGAGGGGTTTGGAAACAGAGGAGTAAATGCCCTGTCCAAGGGGCATAGCTAGGTAGGACTCACCAACGACAACTTGCATTTTCTTTTCATTATACCATGCTACCTCTCAAGAGATTTATATTTATCATTTTTAAGTTGCACTTCATTTTTAACCTGGTGGCATCACACATCTCAAATCCTATTTACAGAAGAGGATGTATAAAATTATTTATAAATATATCAATACATGGATTGACAACTACTTATTCCATTAGTAACAAAACTAATGCAGTTTCAATGTCTCTGGTCAGAAGAGATGCCAAGAAAATAAATCAGATGTAATAAATGGACCTTATGAATACATTATTTTCTGACTGCTCCATATTTGTACAGATTTTTAATGTTTATAAAATATGTCCCTTCAGATGTGATTCCTACTTCTAGGTAAGAACAGGCATCATCCTCTTCTTACCGTGTCTCATAGTGTGAGTGGAAGATCAAATCAAATAGAAGAAGAGTATGCACGAAAGTAAAACTGATTGTAGCAATGGTAGCTCTGAGAGTATTTCTATTTGGTGAGGTAAGAGAGTTGGGTTTAAGGAGGTAAGTATGGACCAGCTTACCTCACAGGACAAACCAGAATAACCTGGAGGACAATCACATTTTTCGATCAGGTGAGCTGCAGGAGTCATTGCTGTTACCTGTCCTTGTTCAGCTACCTCCATTGAGATTTCAGAAATGCTGGGCACAACAAGCATATAGTTAGATTACCATGCAGTAAGTTAAGATCACCTAGCAGTCAATCCTACAACAAGAGTGCTCTCAGGTTTCTGTCATTCTATTGCTATGAAGTTGCCTAAAATTTAGGCACTTAGATGCCCCATTTTATTCTTGCACCTTTGCTTCCTCAAAGGTTGAGATTATACATTTTCAAAATATTTACATAAATCACAAGGAGTTTAGTTAAATTAGATGCCTGATGTCCTGTTGAGAGGTTACTATAAAGATTCCCCTCCCCAACTTTTAAAATGGGAGCGGCTTCAGGTAGACATGGTCAATTGATCAGACAGTCACATTATTTCAAGCAGACAACCCATGGCCATTCCACATTAGAATACCACCAACATACACTAGTGAAATGGCTTTTAATTTACAATGAACTCTGATTTCTTTCTCTTGAGTTTCTGAATGTTCTTTCTAAAACTTTAGAAAACAATGAGCATAATTGAATAACATTGATCTTTTTTCTGATGATAAAATATTTTCAAATTAGTATTTTGTTAACTTCATTAAACACATTCTTCAAGTAACTTAACTCATGTTCTCTATTGGTGGAAAGGTCCTTGTAACTGAAAAAAATTCTCAGTGAAAACGTTGATACCCCTTTCATTAATTTGAAATTATGCATAAAAATATATACAGTTCATAAACTCAGACTATTTCATGACTAACTAATAACATGAAATGTTCTGCAAATAAACATCTAAATGAGACAATGAATAGTTTTGCTTCAATAAAAGGCACCTCTGGTGGCTTAAGGAGCTTGACTCATAAACTTTATAACAGGCATAAATAAGTTTTATTGACACTAAATTATGAATGCCCATTTTGACTTCACTAGCATTGTAATCTGAACTCTGAAGATCAGCCAGCTTTTATGAAGCACACATTCAGTTGAAATTCAGATTTCACTTTTTCCTCCTTGAAGGACGCACAGCAGTTGTGACCTGTAAACGAACTATTCTCCTCCTATAAGAAAAGCTCTACTTTTACATTCCTCTGGGTTCTCTGTGGGGATAAAAAGGTAGCTTGGTGTTTGTTGACAAGTCAGCCCCACTGGCATCTCATGGTGTTTTATAACCTGCATATTTACTGGATTAGTCTTTCCTGTCCTTGCACATGCTTGCACATAACAGACTTGTGAGCATTTAAAAAACCAAGTGAAACTTGGATGGTGTCAACAAAAGATATTTCTACAATACATTGCTTTTTTCTCAGAATATTAGAGAGCAGCTGTTTTTTTCTGAATCAGGGATCTGCCTAAATTCAAGGTTTTATTCAAATTAAAACAGAAATACAAGGTTGCTATATCCGTCAAATACATGTAAGAGAAGACAAAAGCAAAGAGAAAAAAATTCAGCATTGACAATATGTATAAAATCTAAATCTCAAACCACATGTGTACTAATTCTTACACTTTCTGCTTCTGAGACTACTTAAATTTGTGACTGAATAAATGTGCAGGGTTATGTCTTAACTACTTCCAAGGGGAAGCCTTAAACTTATTTTTTAACTTTGTCAGAATTTCACAGTCCTCCAAAATCAAGTGCTGATCTATTGCTTTACTTGTCCTTATTGTTGCCAGATGATGACTCTAGTTTTTATTGAGCCTAGAAGAAAAGTGAAATCTTTAGTTATTCTGAAGTTTCAAAAAAGTGATCTCTTAAGCCAAAAGATATTATTTAGTGAGGAATGTGAAATAAGGTCATACGGGAAAGGGGCTTATAAGGAAAAAAGACAAGCTCACAATATAGGAAGACAAAATCTGTGTATGAGAGCCAAAGAAAATAAAATGAAAAATGCATGACAACATTGTTTCTATCAGTTCCACTAACAAAGGTTCTGTGTACTACCAAACACTGCAGCTCTGAACAATTTGCAGATTAATATATTTGCACACTCACAAAGTTATTTGCTATTTTCTATGACATGCAAACCTGCTTTGGCTTCTACCACCTGATTTACATTTATTTGATATTTAAATTAATTAACAAGATAGCCGACTATATTTTGGTACATGCTTTTATATTATTTCGCATAAAATAATCTCTTGTTAGAAGAGAGAAATATGAAAGGAAAACCAAAGGAATACAGATTTGAAAGTGAATATTGGCCTTTGATTTATCCTTTTACTTTCGGTATAATCAGAAAAGCAATATGGATCTTCTGCATGAAAGCAAAGGATTTCTGTTATATGGTTAGCACAGCGTAAACATTGGAAATATGGCATTTTTATATTCATTGGTTTGCCATGAGAGGTTTCATAATGTTTTGTTTTCTTTCCCTGGACTGGTCTACAAATTTATTATACAAGACTACTTTCAAGTATCTATCGATTTCATATTCTTACAAGACATGACAAAGAAATTGAGATTATGCATATAAACTCAACTTCCTGCCTCCACCATATAAAACCTCTGTGTGACTCCTCATTTTATCTTATTGGATAAGTTGCCCCTTCCACTCAAGGAACATGACTACACATGCTCATGATGTTGAAGTCTCATGGTGTCTCCATTATTTGTCCTCTCCTTATTCCATACTTTTTAAATGCATTCCTTGCTATTAATTTCTTTCCTGGTGGTATGTATACACATTTATTCCTCTTTCAGATTAAACAATTGACCCTTGAACTTTGGTATTATTTCATTCCTCCCTTTTACAATTATGTTCATGGAAAATACTAGTCTATACTCACAATATTAGGTTCAATGTGTCCCACTTATCCCTCCAAACTTTCAGGCTATTTCTCCCCCCAAAACTGCACTACAACTGATAGTGAGAATGTCACCAGTGTGATCCTAAGTGGCAGTGTCAGAAAGTCGCATTTTAATTGACCTTTTGAGTCATATGAAAACATTATCGTCCCTTATAGTGTTCACATCCTTTGGCTTCCAGCATTTATTTTTGTTGTTCTTCTGTGCTTTTTTTCTGTTTGGTGTGATTCCCAGTCTTTTCACATTGTGATGCACAGGGAAAATGACACTGTATGGTGCACTGGGGTGAACAGAGGAGAATGCACATGGATGAAAGAGTTGGGGCCAACTTCTTTCTGCCTGGTGGCCCTGAGAATTTAAGGAGGCTATTTTCTCAGCTAACCTGAGCCTATGTATAGCACAGCAGCTAATTATCTCTACCCTACTGGACATCATCTCTTGAATTCCTGACTGGCATCTAAAACTCACTATGTCAAAGGTCAGTTTATCATTTTTTTTCCTTTTAAACTTACCTCTCAACCTATTTTCCTTTTTGGGGGGAATGGCAGTAACTTCCACCAGGTGACCTGGAAGCCATCTCTGACTTGTCTTCTCTCAACACACTCCCAAACCAAACACTTCTAAATTTTTCTTGCCTGACATCTTACTGATTTTCGCAATAGCCTCTAGAATAAGAACTTAACTTGGGTATTTTCTGTTATGGTTTACCTGCTTTGTCTCATCACATTTCCGTATGTAGCCTTGATAAGAATATAATGGATATCATAGAGGACATCCAAGAAGTCTTCACGGCTCACAGTTCTACTGACTCGAGGATCATCACCATAATATTTCCACTCTTTCTGTTAACAAGAAAGTAAACTACTTTGATAAAACTGAATGTAAAACCACTGACATCCTTGCACCAAACAACTAGAGACCTTACCTCTGTCATTTCAATTTCATGCCTTGTCAGTTGGCCAATCAGGGGAGCAGCCATATGCCTGACGATAACCCTAGCACGGGCTGGAGTCCCACCTCGAATGATAACTTGAGGATTATATGTAAAGAAACCTGTCTCTTCTCGCGCCTCAAAATAGATGGTATACTTGAGTTTTCCACCATAGGCCATCAACTGACAAAATAAAAGGCGGAGCGATGAGTTAGATAAATCTCCACATGGAGTGATTCCAAAAACATATGTGGCTCTGTTCTCATGTGACGTCAATACTCTTGTCCTTACCTTTTTTCCTTCAAATTGCTCTGGAAGTTTCCAATAAAAAGGTTCCAAACGGAGATCTTGTCTCACCCGATCCATGTGGGCAACAATCTCTGGATCTTGAAAGTCAATGCCTTTGGTAGTTGTGTGCTGCAGGGCCTCATCCACCAGGGGCAGAATGGTCTGCTCAGGCTTCAGAGTCACCTGCAAGAGATCAGATCACAGCACGAGGCTGAGTTCCAGTCTTCTGGGCGCCCCTTCAAAACCAAGTTAGGACTGCTTGTCTACCTTCAGTGCCATCCCCATTCTGATGAGTTTTCCCCAGAAGCAGAACCAGTGCCTAGTGAGCAAGCAAGGCATGGGAATCTATCTTTCTGACTTGCTGGCACAGAAAAAAATCACAACACCTGTGAACACCGGAGCCTTTAACATTCACAAAAAGTAGCATTTAAAAGTAGAAAGAGTTAAAGGAAAATGTACTTGTTTTCACCCTAAAAATCTACGATTTTCTAACACTGGTTGGAATAAATGTGCACGGAGCCTGGTGTTCATGACTGTGTTAGCACAGATCAGCATTCATGATCCGGTGTCTGCACTCTTCAAAATACAGCTTCTTCCAATCCCCAAACATGTTTCCTTGCAACGTTTCCCCTCTTCCCTTGGCATCTATTTCTTTATCAACAGTAAATGAACTATGCTTAAGGAAAATTAAAAAAGGAATTTACTGCAACCCTCTAAAGGCACATGGTCCCTTTTACCGTTTCGATATGTGCACAGGGGAAAAGGTTGCTTAAATGTTTTGCCATGTCTTCCTACCCCTCAGTGCCTGGCTAAAGGACGCCAGCAGGGCTAACATTATACCATTACATGGCTCAGCAGGTCCTCACTCACCCGCGTGCGGATCAGTCCTTTCGCTTCAGAGCACTGAGTAGTAGCGCCAAAGCAATAGCAGCTGCTGCAGCCAAGCGGGTTTTGGGCATCAAGTCCGAATTTGCCAGACCGGCACCCGTCACAGTGCACACCTTCCACATTCGCCTGAAGAAAGATGAGAGTTCCTCAGTGTTCATAACACTGAAGTTATGAGGGGGATAAACTTGAGAATAATAGGAGCACGCTTTTTAAAAGTGGAAAAAAAACAAAAAAGATCACTGAGTATCGTACCCATGTCATGTAAATGGTACATGTAGATAACCTTAATGAGATTTCATGACTCTAAAAAATGCCTTATTTATACCTAAGTACATTATCAAACATATCGTATATATTTTTTTAAGTCTAAGCAGCACATTTTCTACCATTCTCCTGTGAACAATAAGAAAAAGTCATGAGAATTTAAAATGCAAAACAAAAACATCGATTCCTAGACAACGGTGTGATACAAAAGCCAGTTGTAAAAAAGAGACAGGATATTAAAATGTAGATTTATAAAATTATTATTATGTAATGTACATATAATCACATAATGTGTATTAAATATAAATGGTAATGGGCAAATACAATAAAGATTAAATTAAAAAATAAATAAATATAATGTGCAGCCATAATTAAAATATGTAACAATGCAGCATTGTGTTTGGGGTTTTGTTTTAGGGCCCTGAATGGCAGGTGCTGCCTTTTCTTAAATTCTCAAGATTATTTTAAGAATCACTCCCTGGATTTCATCCTCTGTTTCTCTGTCCCTCTCCATATTGACTTTTTTTGAAAAGATACATGTAACTCAGTCTTAATTGCACTTACCTTGAAATTGATTTTTCAGATATATCTAAGACGGGGGGAAAAATCTCTCTCATCCTTTTTAATTGGCTGTTTTTCTACATCGTTTAACAATATTAATGAGGGCTGAAATTTCCACATAGTCACTGTTTGTAATGTCAGTATTTATATGTGATAAAATTTTACAGAACTTCCACAACAGCAAATACATTTTTCAGTGTACAGTGATTGCAGATTAATTTGAGGAGAAATTTTTTTTTAATAAGTCTTATTATTTAGCTCTGATTTTCTCTGATGATGCTTAAAATGTTTTTTCTCCCTCTCAGATTATTCTCGTTTAAGCAAAGTAGATACGTAAAGAAAAATATATTATTAAAAATATGTCGCATCTTCCAACTAGAAAGAGAAATTAGCCTTAAGTTAAAAAACATTTATTTATTTATCTCTTTATTTACTTATTTATTTTTATTGTTGTTCAAGTTCAGTTGTCTCCATTTTCCTCCACCCCACCCTCCCCCACCTCCCACCCTCAATCCTACCCACATTTGGCTTTGTCCATGTGTCCTTTAAACATGTTCCTTGATGGCCCTTCCCTTCTTTCAGTGCTTATCACTGTGACAATGAACATACATCAATAAAATCTCTGTGTCTGTCAATGAGTTTTTGTTTTTCGGTTTGTTTAGCCCAATGAGGCAGGAATAATGAACACTGGATGAAGTTAATACTGAGCTATGAAAATAGCATTGAGATGAGCTTTTCCTTAATGTACTTTGGTGGCATATACCTTACAAGTGCATTGCCCCGTCCGATCGATACAGGAGCACTTTTTAGTTTCTGAATCACAGGTCGCCTCATCAGTCCCGGGCAGGAAGCAGTCACAGGGAGCACAGTGAGGGTAGTTCCAGTGACCTCGCCTGCACTCTGTACATTTTGCACCGGAGAATTTTGGATGACAGTTGCACTGGCCTGTGTTTATGTTGCACTGGAAATCCAAGGATCCCACCGTGCTGCAGTTACAAGTCTACGGAGGAAGCCAAAACAGCAACCATTAACACCATTTCCTGGAAAATAGCTTAACGTTTTAATTCTGAGGTTTCTATGCTCCCATTAAACACATATTAATCACATGTCTATTATATTCTTTGGACTGCTCCAGTTTAGTTGCTTGAGAAACATCAGTGAACATAACACTAAAATTGCTTCCTGCATTTCCTAAAATATATGAGTGTCCAGAAACCATCACACTATTGAATAAGAAAGAAAATGTGCTTTCTCTACCTTTTTGTGGCAAGGAGGAATTAGGTATGAGTTTTCTCATACCTAATTTGTTTCAAAGGTTGAACTTTAGACAAAGTCATTTTACTTTTTCGTCTCATTTTTATAGCACTTAAGTTGTACAGAGACATACCTTACAGTTTAATGGAGGGAGACAAGTATATATGTAAATAGAACATAATGGAATAACATTATGTAATAGGGGGAAATGCAAAAATGCTATGAGAACATATAAGAAGCACCAAACTAGATGTGGGAAGCCAGGGAGAATTTAGAGAAGAGATGTCTAGGGTGTTGTTTTTGGCATTTCGTTTTTCAGACAAGCCTGATTTGAGGTGCTTTGCTGGTAAATACATACATATATATATATATATATATATATATATATATAATCTTTATTTGTGTAATTCAGAATTTTGCTAGAATTTTTTAAATTTTGAGGTTCTTTTAATTAATTTACTGGGACATGATGAGTTTTTTCTGTTTGAGAACAAAACTGTTCCTGGATTCAGTTTTATTTCTTCAGATTTATGTTTGATATTTACTTTTGTTCTAATTTACCAGTTTTGTTCTTCAGGATCCCTTTTAATTCTTCACTACTTTTGTCTGTCTCTCAAATCTATACCACCCTCATGTCTTCAGGAGTTATTTACTTATTTTCCTCTCAAATTTGTTCTCAATTTTATAGTTCCCATTTTACACAGTGAGAATTCTATTGTATGTATATACCACCAATGCTTATTTTAATGACACTACTGAACGTTTAGATTCTTTTCAAGGATTTATTTCCTCTCTTCTTTGATTTCTCCTCATCCATGTGTCTGTTTTTCTTATATTCTTTAAAATTTTTCTGCTCTTGATTTACAAAGTTTATCAAAGTGCAAGGTAATAGGAGTTCCAAGCATATGTCTAAAATGTCATTTAGAATCTTGGAATAAATAAGTGATTTTCAGAGACCAGCTGTGCCAATGATCAATCTACTGTCTCAGAGCTTTAAATTGACTCTTCCTTGCCCGGTTTTGTGGTAACAGAGGTTAGAACCTATAGACATTTCTCCATGGTCAGGTAGCTGAACGTTAAGCTTCATCAACAGAGGGCGCTGTAGAGACCAAAAAAGCTGGTGGGAAGACACTCCTGTACTGGGTTCTGTCTTCATTACTATAATCGTTATCATTATTTTATTACTTAGCTTGAGAGCCCAGAAGTTCGGAATGATTCCAACTGTGCCCCTAAGACCCTGAGGAGCTTCGTTTTGCTCATAGCTCTGTGACAGGCTGCTTCTAAGCCATTCCCATAGCCCTCAGAAATGGTACGCAGCTTCTGCAGACTAGCACCCACACACAAACTCTGCCACGTGTTCTGTTGTTGTTTGTTTTACCACAGGCAGGCTGCGTGGTCCTGTGGTAGCCACCCTCTCTTTAAATAGGTCTGAATCTCTGCCTTGCTGGGGTTGGGGACAAGGAAGTGTATGGCCTCTCTTAGCCCTTGATTTCTTTATGGTTCACCCTCCAGAAGCCTAGAACTGGTAGCTGTTTTCTTGTACCTGCAACTTTAGTAACTTTTAAGGAACTGCTTTTTACTAGTTAATAAGTCTTTGTATTTTTCTTTCCCTGTTTAAATAATTGGTGCGGTTTTTCTCCCAAGCGGGTCCTGCCTTGGTACTCTGGCTCTCTGTGTCTGAGTTTGTCGCCATACAGTGTTTATACTTAGTCTGTCACCTGACTCGTCCTGGTGCTGCACTGCCAGTCTTCTCAGATCTATAGCTCTGTGGCAGACTCACGTGCATAGCAACTTGCAAAATTTTTAGATCTAATCCTGGCTGGACCTCACTTTGTATTTCTCGCACGTTCATTGCTCAGCTTAATTCTTACATCCACCACGACTGTGGATGTTCCTTCTTCTGCTCCTGCCAAGAAGAATTTACTTATGGGACTACTCTTTCTAGAATATGATGTACAATACCAGCTTCCCATATATCATCTGTTTCCTGTCCAAAAGCTTTGTGAAATATTTTCCCAGATTCTGATATAAAAATAATTGCCGGGCCTTATTTTGGATATCTCTATGATTAAGTGTTTTTTGCGTCTTCATTGCTATCCAGTAAAAATTGCTGGATAGGGGATGTTACTAAAAGTTATTTTAGAACCAAAATGTGATTTATTTATTATTTTACAAACATGAACACAGTTTCCAAGACATTGAATAACTCGCTGTCATCACTCCAAGTAACTCATCCTTATAGAACATCAGGTGTAGACTGAGATTTCAAAGTAAGTATGATTGGCTTATTTACTTAAATAGCTTTTTCCTTGACTCAACCAAAATGGGCTATAATCAGAAATGGAAAATTAGATATGGATGGGAACTATAATAATGCAATAAATTTTTAAAATGTCTTATGAGACATCCTTGTGATTTAACTAAAATGTAAAATGTCTGCTACCTAACTTATTGTATAATTCTTAAAGACTAATTGGCAGTACCAATAAACATTGGGACCTTTCCAAAGCAGGAAGTATATCCAGCAAGTTCTAGGAAAGGCTAAATGAAATCATTAACCATATGTTTAGATAGCACTGTAGTTGACATCAAACTTAAATCATAATTAGATGTAATGTTTGTTTAGCAACAGAGGATTTATGCACTATTCCCCTGCTAGCAAAAGATGGCAGGCTTTCTATTCTACTTTAATAAAAGCTCAAATGATGTGTGTGCTCACACCTCAGCACAGAGAAATTATCCATGACACAAAGAGAGGAAAGCAATGAACTTAAAGCACTGTAGATTTAGATTATAGTTGTCCAAGTTTTTAAAATAGGAGAATACATGCTTCTAAATATTTGTGAGGGCTCTATGAATTTTTTAGTTGATCATAATGATGAGGTATCTATTCAGAAATTGAGATTTTTAATAGTGCTTCAAAGTAATCAAAACACTTCAACTTCAAACCACATAATGTTTGTTCAATGATCACTACATAATGGTATCAAACATATTACTTTAAAGAAACTTGGTCTATATTTTATCCTGATTTATCTCTTGAACATTAGATATCTGCTACAATTTCAGGAGTTTCATTAGAGTTTGGCCACATAATCGGATTTTGTAGCTAAAATGAAATCCTCCTAAGTTTCCTTATGGCTTATCTATGAATCTAGCAATGAGACAGATAGTTGGATTTAAAATGGAAAATGCAAAAAGTCAGTCATAGGCCTATGTAGCATTGTTCACACTCATCTAAAATTTTGGAATTCTTGAGCAATTTTTGTTTTGTTTCCAAAAATGTACCTCTATGAAACTTCGAACTTGATAATTACTTCCACCCTGATGCTGAATATATTTCTCTAACTGTGAGTGTAATCATGAAACTTTCTAAGGTCAATCGATGGAAACAACTGAGAATTTTTCTAAGTGAAACGTTGTTAATATGACTCTTCAGAACTTCTCAACTATTTACTACAAACTGAAACCTCACCATAATTTGAGGATAATTCGTATAGATTTTTTTGGCAAATTCCTTTAATTAGTTCTTGATTTGCTTGTACTTTGCACTTTGCAGATACATTTCATTGTGCATAAGTATGAGACTGTAGCTATTTTCACTTTATTACAGAGTTTTTTCCCCCTTTCTTTGGTAGGTATCATGAATGAGGTGACATAAATGTGTACTTAATTTATTATCTTTCCCACAAGTAAATCAATGTTAGATATTGATCAATAGCTGCAATCACTCTAGTGTGATAGTTCCACAGTGTTTTGTAATATTATATTGGATTTCGAAATGCCCAACTATAGAGCTCTACCAACATAAAAATCTTTAAGAAACATTATCAGATGAAATAAAGTTATTCACTCACCTTACAACCAGAGACAATGCTGTGGCCCCAGGTATTAGGTGCACATTTAGAACACTGATCTCCAATGGTATTGGGAGGGCAAATGCATCGGCCAGTATTTGGGTCACAATTATTACCCAGATGAGAACAGTTACAAGCTTCACAGGTGAACAAGGGAATAAAAAAGTAAAAATTTGATAGAAAAACATGATTTGTGTTGTTATATTTTCCACACTATAGCTAAGGATCCTTGAAAATAAAAACTCATCTTTTATATCATAGCACAGTGTACTTCACAGAGTTGTTCAACATGCATATGCTATAATTCACTTAATAATTTCAAAAAGTAAAGCATTTTTAACTTTTCATTATTTGAAGCTTAAAGAAACAAGAACTAGAGTGCCAGATTCCATGTTAACTGTATTACCTGATATCTAGATACTATATATAGGTCAGAATCTTGTTTCTATATTTAATTCATGATTATTTTTCTACACTGTATAGATTAATAATCCCATCCTGCTGATGATTCTGATTTGCAATAAAAACAAATAAGCTTAATAGGCTTCCTAAATTCAGTATATCATGACATATATAAATATATAATGCACATTTATTGGTGGATAAATGTACACATGTATATATACCATGACATATATAAATATGTATTTATAGATAGGTAGATAGATGTTTTTGAGTTTTATTTACTATGCCTTATTTCTTTTCAATATATTTTGAATTTCCTATGCTATGATGCAATATATAAAGAGTGCAAATTCACCCGACCTGTGCGCTGTCACAGAGAATGCGAAAGCAAGATTGAGATCTTCAAAGCCATCCAAGACAAGGACTCTATGCTGCTTATTACCAAATAGTTGACCCGGTTACTGAGTATATGCTAGTGCAGTGTTTCATATTAAAGAAAGCAGGTGAAGAAAAACCAAATAACTTGAATTTAAATAGAAGATGAATGTTATAAGAAATATTTAAGTTGGTTATATTATGATTAAATCTTTTTAACAAAATACATTTGGGGTATTTGATTAAGTTCATATTGTAAGGTATTATAATTATCATAACTCACAGCATTTTATACCGGCTGTGAAAAATGTTTAGCATAATACTTGACATGGGGTAAACACCAAATACATCTTAGCCATTATTTTTGTTATTATTATTATCATTGCTGCTAATTTTTAGCCAAAGGATTTAGTGCATATGTACCCTTTATTAATAAGAAAAATAGCTCTTTTTATGTTTAAATTTATGTGCTAAAAATATCTTGGGACAGTTCAAATCATTACCTTCAAATAGAAATTTTCTAAGTAGTTCTTTAATGGAATCATAACACTAACTTAATAGGAAAATTGAGTAATTAACTAGCTTTTTTTGTTAAAATAGAATGTGTATCACATGGATAATAACAATATAGAAATAATGAGAATAATTATAACAATAATAATAAACACATGGCACTTATGTGCCAGGCATTCCTCTGAATATTGCATAGGGCATTAACTCAACTAATTCTTACAAAAACCGAGCAAGATATATACTATTATTTTCTTTATTTAATAGATGAATTTTGCAGAGGGACAGGGAAACCAGGTCATTCAATTCAGTTCACATAACTAGTTACCTGTAGTGCCACTAAACAAATTTAAGCTCTTTGGAGTAAGTCATGCTCTCAAACCTAATACTATCTTGCCTATTTTGCTCTTGTTCTCTGTTATGTTTTTCTGGGTTAAATGCTACTAAGCCTGCATTTATTTTCTCTTTTTTATATTTTATTTATTTATTTTTAGACAGAGGGGAAGGGAGGGAGAAAGAGAGGGAGGGAAGCATCAATGTGTAGTTGCCTCTCGCACACTCCCTACTGGGGACTTGGCCTGCAACCCGGAGAATCAAACCAGCCACCCTTTGGTTTGCAAGCCAGCACTTAATCTGCTGAGCCGAACCAGCCAGGGCTAAGTCTGCATTTCTAAAATGTTATCTCTATTTCAATATTTCAAATAATATTCTTGATCTCATTTATAATTTTTGGTAGGGGGTATGTTTGAATATATAGCTCCATGTCATTAATTTCTATTAAGTGAAAATGTTAATGAGATTTAGATTTAGAATTCTTGGTATATACGGATATTGCCTTAGAAATCTCATGCAGATTCTTAAAGGGACTACAATAATAACATTTAGAATAATTTATAATGGCTTAATTTATAGTCACAACTGTATATCACAGGTGTTTGAGAATAATTTCAAATATTGTTCTTGCTGCTCTTCACCTAAATTCACTACAGTAATCCATAAGAAAGCCTTAAAATCTTCCTATGTACTTATGGTGCTGAGAGTATAGGAGTATCATTAGTATTGAATTAGTGAGTTTGGTAAGCAAAGGTTAATAGGCTGAAATAAGGGTCAATTCCTTATTAGCGGCACATAAATCAATGCTAATGTTAAGTCTTTACTTTCAGCTATTTTGTGTTAATTCCTACTCTCTATACCATGATTGTCAGAAGACTGTGGCTGGACATATGAGAATCTGCTTGAGGAAATCATGTCAGAAACCCCGCTTGCATTTTCCCATGAACTAACGTGTATCTAGAGCCAATCTGTTTCTTTCTCAGAATATCACAATTTTCAAGACACCTAAAAGAAGATCCGAACATATTTTTTTTGTACCACAGAAAGGTATTAACTTCCTGGATTCTTTTACCAATTTTGCAGTAGGAAAAGGGAGAGTTGAACTGTATTAGCTTGGGAGTAAAGTTTACACTAAGACAACCTTGGCTCCAGGAAAACTGCACATTTAACTTTCAGACTGCAGTACTTTGAGTGACTGGCTGAAGAGAGGTCACAGTCAAGAAAAGACACAGCAGAACTGGGATCTGCTGATGGATTTGTGTTGAGTTCTTGCAAGTACATCTATTTATAGGGTAGTTTTGCAAATTGCAATGGATTTCTTTTGCTAATGTATTAAAAATAAATATACATTTCTTATTAGGTTAAATATTTTGTAGCACGTATTTGTTGTCAGGTGCCTCTCCTTTAATATCTGGGAACCCTGCCCAGCAAACTTGCAGGTGGCAAGCCACCCAAACCAGAGAATGCAGGTGTGGTGCTCAGTCTTATTACAGACCTGTGCATCCACCTTCTTGGAAGTTGAAATAGCCGTGGGCACAGCGGTCACATTTCTTCCCCGTCACTCCAGGCTGGCACCAACACTGACCACTCTCATCACAGTCGAATGATTTCGACCCAAAGGAATTGCAGTGGCAGGGGGCACACCCTCTGGATGACTGCAGGCCAAAGGTTTCAGGCTGGCATAGGAAAGGAAAGAGAAACATTAAATTTAAATCAATTCATTCACCATAGAATAAGATGCAAAGTACTAAAACATCAGACAGAGGGAAAAGATAGGAGTTTAAGGGTTATGAAGGTTTCTTCACTGATGTTATGACAACTGAGTTGTCATTCAATCTAATGGAACGTTTTTTTATAATATCCAAAGAGAAAATTTCAATTACTTTGAAATTTCATCAAGATAAAGGCAGAATTAGGGCATTATCATTCAGTCTGATGTATTTTCACTAGCTTTTACCTATACTTCCTAAGATTCCAACAGCACTGTGGAAATAAGCTATGGCCGGTATTTTTATTTTAATTAAAATTTTTATTTGCTTAAATCCTAATAATCTGCATTGATTACTTTCAGTTCCTATGAACTCCTTCTATGTGGTAAAAATGCTTTCAATATTGTTACCTGCAGCCTAAAATTAAATAAATTATTTCCTCTAATATTTGGTCTAACATTTTTATATATCCATAAATACTTCTAATAATCACTATAGGGCTCACATTATAAATATAAGTTACAGGTTATGACTTCACTGACAAAATAATTGGTTTGACAAACATCTAGTTTCTGGGGTTTTATCCTAACAATAGAATTAGATTTATGAAAACATACATCAAAGATTGGGTAAATGAAGGAAATCTTTTATACTCTGATGAGTTATTCATATGCATATCTTATCTATTTATAAGAAGTAACTTTCTGTTGTCAAGTTTCCATTACTGGCATTGGCTGACTTTCTTGAAATACGTTATCAGACCTAGAGTGACTATAAGAAAATGTTGATGGATTAAAAATTACTCCTCCTAGAAAGTGGGAAGTACATATCCTACTTAAATTATGTCAAGGTTGTCTTTTAAAATATAAAGTATGTCACATTATTATGATGTTTTAAACAACGAAATCAGTTTCAGTAATTACTTTTTTGTAAAAATAATTCCTATTTTAGAAAATCAGACACAATAATTACTTCTTGGTAAAAATAAATCTTGCTACTTAATGTGCGCCACACAAAGAGAAATAAATAAGCTGCATTATATATTTTTGCCATTATTGTTAACAGTATTAAAATAAGTTCTGGAAAACAAAATGGCACTAAAAATTATTCTTCTAAAGTGGCTATAGCTAAGAGTAGTTTTGTATTTAAAATATAAAATAGACTGAATAAGTTTAACTATTTTATTTATATTTACTGATGACTATTTTATTTCTAGTTCTAATTCAGATTAATTTCACTACATGATAAAAGAAGGAAGTGTGCATCAGTTCTAAGAAATGACCTAACACATGATATTAAAATTAAATTCAATTATATAAAGAAAAATAAAGTGTAATTTTTTTTCAAAAAAATAATTTAATGTAAAATTCCTGATATCTAGAGGCCTAGAGAAATAATCAGAATTGGAAAAATTGTTAAAATACAAGCATGCCCATTACAATATTATTTATCATAGTAAGTAATTATAGAAGCACTTGAATGCTCAATGTTAGAGAAAATTTGAATGAACTAAATTATGATACGTTCATGCTAACAAATGATATGCAGTCATTAAATCCTGTTTTGAAGCAGATTTAATGACATGAATATGCTTAGTATATAGCATTGAGTAAAATTTCAAAAAGCAGAATACAAAATTATATATACACTGTGATTCTAATTACATATCTATAACAGCACACCTACTACTCAGATACACACAAATAGGAACATATATACATAGAAAAAAGACTAAAACCTAATATAGTAAAATATTTTCAAAAATATCTGAATCACAGAAGTAGTATTTTGTGTTTGTTTTTATTTCCTAAATATTCTTGACTTAGAAATCTGAGTTATAGCCAGTACTTTATATTCATCTTTATTTCCTAATTTTTTCTTTATTTAGCATATTTACATATATGTATACACACATATATATTTTAATGGTTAAATTAATAAAATATTAAGTAAACTTCCAAATCATAGTTATTAAAGAATTCTAAACTTGGTCATGTAAATAAACGTACAAGAAGAAATGTCTCTATCATACTTCTCTAATATTTAAATTATGTAGTTTTAAAGACTAAGTTATAGCAAAACAAATACTAGTAAATTTCAATAATACAATTGTAACAAATTTGGTGTTTAAAAATTTTTAACACCAGGGAAAACCCCTGAAGTATACAAATTTAAGGAGCAAATATTCCTCGTCAGGAACAACATTAATGAGGTGAAACAAACATGGGAGAGGGTGCCGGTCAATTTCACTGGAAAGTTTGTTGAGCTCCCTCAAATTATTCTTACTTAGGATAATAATAACAACTGGAACTTATATCTTGTGCTATGTGCCAAGCACTGCTCTAAAGCCCTTTATAAATAAGTGATTCATTTAATCCTCAAGACAATAGGGAAAAGAATATTATCTCCTTTTTAGAGAGTGGTGAAACCGAGGCGCTGAAAAATCAAGTAATTTGCCTAAGGTCACCAGCTTGCCATTTGTGGAGTCAGGATTCCAAATCAGCCAGCCTGCCTTCAGAGTCTGTGCATTTAACTCACACTTACTGCGTCAGAGAAAACGTGTTCTGAGGACAGAACACTGCTTTATACGATAATGCTGTAAGGTGTGTAAGAAAAGGGCATGGATGAGAGCTGAAGTTCTGCTAGATTTATATATACTGGAAACATTGTGATCAGTTACTATGCCTCTCTTTTACTTTGTATATGCATTTCTTACTTAAAAACATAATCTCTTGTAAAGATTTCTTCATTTAATAACAATAATGTTGATAACATCTAGCATTTAGGTAGAACCCTGTACCTCTGTCTGGACTTTATGCACTTTCTCGTGACTACCCTGAAACGTAGGAGGAGTCCAAACAGACCTTCTTGCAAGAGATCCTGCAGTGAAGAGTGTTACTGATGGACAACCTCCAGCTTCCATTCTTCTGAAACTCCCACCCAGTCCTGCGTCTTCTAGTCAATGACTGGTTACAATAAAGTACCAGAACCTTTCTGCCCAAACCAGGATTCCTCTAATGGGCAAATTTTGCTTCAGCATTGCCCGGCCAAGGGTTGGGATTTTGGCAGAATGCACCAAATGAGGGTTTTCTACCCAGTCTTTCCTTCCTTTTCTCTCTTCACATAGTCAGCCCTGCACCGCCCCAGAAGGCTCCTGGCATGCTATGCTCCCCTCTTCCTGCCTCCTTCACAGGCATTTTTCCCAGTTAATCTCTTGGCATTTGCCTCTTGGAAAATCCAAACAGATGCAAACCCTAGGAAGTAGGTCCTACTAGAGATGAAGAAGCTGAATTACAAGAAGATTTAAGGAGCTGTTTTAGAGCTAGGAAGCAGTGAGGGTGCAATTTGACCTGAGGCAGTCTGAAATGAGAACTTGTTTTCTTAAAATGTCAATAGAGCCAAGAAATAAAACCATGCTGTTTTTTTTTCTCTTTGCTTCTTTACTATGTACTTCATTCTCATTTTCTTCTGTCCCCTACACTCAGCTCCCATACAGGCTCTGACTCCACACTGGCAAGTCCTGTCTCCGGCTGCTTGGCAGATTGGCTGCGGAGCTGGCCTTCTCTCCTCCCTTCTTCTCTCCCTTTCTCCCAACATTTGTTTTGTTTTGCCTTCTGAGAAGGGGGCCCCAAATTATGTAGCAGAAAATATACTTCCTTATTTTGTGTGTTCTGTGCATTTACCATGTGTAAACATGTGTTTCTCGTGTTTGTTGTATCCTGCAACAAAATTATGGTGTGGACATGTAACCCAATCATTCATTATGCTGAAATTGTCAGGTCAACGGGCTGGATTTTCTTGGGCAAATTCACAGTTTTTCCTAGATTTCTCTTTTTTTGCTCATTCATAGAAGTGAGTTTGCTCCAAATGATGCCCAAGGCCCTTTCCACTCCTGAGATTATAGGTTCCTGCACATAAATTTTTCTTTGTTTCTACACACCCATAGTTAATTGAAACTTTATTAACCTATGAACTTGCATATACTTTGAAAACATAGATAGCTAATTTTAAAAGGCAAGGCTTCAATCCAAAATTGTCTAGTGTTGGCATTTGCAGCTGGCACAATTAGCAGTCATTTCTTGGTAAAATGGCATTAGGGATTGTCAGCCGCAGCACACAGAACACAGCACGCCAGGCAAGAGCCATGCAGCGCTTCTGGGGTTACCCGAGCTGCTGGCCGGTAGGCTCCCCGAGGGCACCCGCTGGGGCTGCTGAAACCCCACCTCTGGGGAGACCCCAGCACCGCCTTCGCTCTCCGTGGATGTTCCTTCTGTTGGTGCACCTGTCTGCTCAGGTTGCACTGTTTCCCTACGAAGCCTGATTTACAGATACATCTTCCTGTAGTATCACACTGTGGCGACACAGAGCCAACGGGATTGCAGTCACACAATACACAGAATTGCTTCTCTGGGTCCCACCACATATTCGACTTTAAAAGACAAAAGAAAAAATAAAAACAAATAAAAGAAAGAGCATACAATACTCTTCAAGAGAGAGAAGCAGACGACATTTTCAAACTTTCTACAGAAAGGCCAGTTTGATGACATCTGAAAAATACTTCTGTTTACCAGTCGGTAGTACCAAAAATGCATAGTTATGTGAGAAGTGGTACAAATCCACTTGCTCTCCCAGAAAAACGTCAAGGTCTTATCCTACTGAAAGAAAGGGCAATTTGTTCAAGAATGGAGAGCAAGACACTTTTACTATCGTTTCACTTTAGCAAAAGGGTGACTCTAAAAATTTCTGGAACTAACATCTAAATAATGGGACTAGAACAAACAGTTTGCTAAAAGCAAAGGGTAATGGCACGTTTTATTCTACCAAAAATATAAAGGCAAAGGAAAGAATATTTTACTCTCCATAGACTAGAGAGTAAATTTGTATCTTATTTGATTTAAAAAAAGTGTGAAGTACAGAAAATATTGCACAAATTCACTGCCAAGGAAATACAGTTTGAAGGTCAAATGCTAGTGTACAGTGAATTTTGTTCTATTTTGAGAAGCCATTTCAAAGATCACGGTAATTTCGCATGTAGAATTAGATGATCCTGAGCTTTTGTTCAGTATACTAAGGTGTATGGCATCGAAAGCTAATGAGACTTTTCCAGGCAGAAGCAATTCCATGCTCAGCTCCTGCTCCTTACCTTGCATCTGTCACACCGCTGGCCCTGCACGTTGGCTCTGCATTCACACTGTCCTGTCCTAGCGTGGCAAATCTCAGAGAAGGAGCCATTGGCGTTACAGTAACAAGCTGGAAAGAGAAGAGAGATCGGTCACCGGGAAAAACTTTCTAATAGTCTTCAAAGGCTCATTAAATAATAATATCCCCAAGATGATGACATGGGTGACTATATCTAGAATAGAATGTTTTCTGACTTGGTAGATGATCTGTTAGGCATTATGTCATTTGATCCTTACAAGTCTACAAACTGTAGGATTAATGCATGTAAAACTTCAGCACAGTGCCTGGCACATCACGTTATTGAATTATTAATATCGCCATTATTCCAACCTTGAGAATGAAGACACTGAAATCCAAAGAAGCCATAAGTCATAGGCTACAGGATTGCTAGGTGATATAGCTGAGTCCAGAACCTCAGTTCCGTGATTCCAGGTAAATGTGCTCTCAATCACTCCTCCAGCTGTTTCATTTCTTTATAGATACATTGGGGTAACATTTAAAATATTATAATCCCATTTTAAGTAATGCACATTAACTCTAGAAGTAAAATAATTTTGAGATATTATCAAAATTAATAGCACCCACAGCATAATATTAGTGCCATCACTAATTAAACATTAATTAATTTTTTCAATTTAATAATTATTTATTATGTGCCTGATGTAGGTTAAGCTCAAAATATGAGTTTAAGAAAAAATTAATATATGTACATATATACACACACATTTATATTAAAGATTAGAAAGTATATAAAATAAAAACATTATTTCAAGTGTACTAGAAATATAACATTATAATTCTTAAAAATAAAATTTTTATTTTACAACTTCTACACTATCTCTAAAGGTAAAAAAATACATTGGATTTAAGTAATAATTTGTTATTTCTGTGTTATGAAGTTGGTTGATATTATTCTGAAACATGTATCAGTCTAAAAATTAAGTGGCCTTTTCACAAATGTAACTAATTAATGGCTTACTCCATACTCTATGAGTATATTTTCAATGGTATATATAATTGCACTGATACCAGAATAAAAAATATAAGGGGGAGATGATATGAGAGTTTAGATTATTCATACATATTTTTGGTAAATACTGTATAATATTTCCTGTTCCTGGATACTTTGATCTAAGCATAACTTATAACTACATTATAAATAGCTACTCCATCAGCTTATGCTGTTATTTTGTTCATCTTGCTCCAGATTCTACTTAGTTTTATTGCTTTCCCCAAAACTGCTTGCTTTTCGTCCACTCGTTCAGCCTTCAGTGTCTGCCGACTTCACAGCAGCTGAGTGGGTAGGGTGCCTGGCCCCATCTGCAGCCGGTCATTTTCCTCAGGCGACAGCCCAAGGGGAGTCAATATTTGGGGTGTGAGAAAAGGCTGAAGAAAATGTTTTTTAACTATCCATTTCATTTGAACACTAGAATTACTGCATATACTTTTAATTTCTTTATGGAAGTTTCTTATGTATATTATATATAAATATTTTAAAATGTCAATAATTTAGAATTTAGAAGCCAATTTTCCTTGGAGTGGGGAATATAAGATTAAATTTACCAAAAATTGTCATCCAAAAAATAATGAAAGCAATACAGATTTTTTAATTGTCATTTTTAAAGAAATGTATGGCACTATATATATATTTGAAAAGCAAAATATACTTGTATTAGTGTACTTTTTATGGACAAATCTAGGTGAAACTAAAATAATACTTTATCATGAATTTTCTTCTCCTGAGGATTTTCACCTATGTATAGAAGAGCTATTATATCTATAAAAATTATCAAAATAGATAATAAATTTCTTATATTTTTAATCTTAATTGTATACTGAGGAGCCTTAAACACCAATATTATGCCTATTACTCATGGTAAGTGGTATAAAAATTGGTGATGATTCAAAAAGTATTTTCATACCATATTCTTTTGTGTGTGGCTAAGGCTTCATGCTGCTGATCCCCAATTCACCCAGACTTTTTGTTTAACCAACAATAATGTGGTTTCTGAGGGGGTCATCTTAGCTGTTGCTTAGATGTCACCCAACCAGGGATTATGTGGCGTGTCTTGTTCAAGGAAAGGATCTGCAGTCACTACTCTCTTACAAACACCTGCCAACCTGTATTTTTGTCTTTATTCCCGTAGAAATATTAAGGGCTTTTCTTGCTCTGCTAACTCCTGACAGTGTAATTGGTGCCAAATATAGCTTCACACCTAAGGTCTGCTTACATTCACTAACTTTGTGACCCTTAGGTGAGACACTTAAGGATTTTACTTCCATTTCTGCCCAGAAGGTATAAATACATGACATCTGTCCCAGGACAATTATAAAGGTCTAATGAAATAGTAGAGGTACATTTAGGTTTTGTGGCATAATTTATCTAATGTATTTTAGGAAAGCTAGAATGAAAATACCATGATTAGAGATCCTGAGTGTAATAAGCTGATTTATAACTGTTGGCATAAAGCAAGTTTCCCTACGGGGGAATTTGAAGAAATTTCAAAAAAGGTAACATGTGGCATTTTAGGTGAAGTGTTCCACAGAGACTATTCTGACTTTGAGATTGAGACCTTTTAGACATTCTGCCTTCAGACCAATCCTGGACACTCGTGAGTTAGTGACCATTGTCGGTTTTGCTTCACCAATAAAGTCTTTATCAGTTAAATATTCTTTTTAAACAGAGTTTTTCTTTACATAGCAAAAAAAAAATGAGTGAAAGAATCCCCTCAAATTTTGGAGGGACTTATTGGGAAATAGAAGTTCAATAAATGATTAACATAGCCTTAAAATTAGCAAACCATGGATATTCACCAGCACCACAAACACTCCTACAGAAGGAGCAACCACGTGTGAGCATCCCAAGCACTGGAGTTCACTAGATACTGTCTATGGGATAGATCCTTGAGACTCCACAGAAAATTATGCCCCTTTAAGTAAATGATAAAACTGAGTCTCAGTGAGGTCAAATGACTTGCCCCAGCTCACACAGCTAGAAAGTGAAGATCCTAGATGGCATGTTTGAATGTGATAATTTCTTAAGCTCCCTATGATTTTATACAAATGCCATAAACCCACAGTGCTTAAAACTGAACCTGTTGAAAATTTGCCTTAAAAAATAATTGATTTACAGATGATATGAATAAATGAGAATTGTTCCAGAGCGATTTGTTTTTGATTCAACAAATTGTCATCTTCAAATGACAAAAAGCTGACACTCATCTTGCAAATCTATGAAGAGAAAGACACATTTCTTATTGAAATGGGCATCCTATCAGGTCTTTGGTGTTTACAGCAGAAACAATAACAGAGACTAGATTTCTCATGGTTTCTATATTTTTGCAGTTCCTGGGACTTAATGAAATGATTGGAAAAGTCTTTTCTTACCCAATGTCGCTGGCAGAAGTATACTGTTGGGTTGATACTTGTTCTGCTTAAAGGTTATGACAGTAGGTGAAACTGACGATGGCAGCGTGAGGCACTTGAAGGCTAACATGGACTAACATTCCATTTCACTCTCCACAACAAGATCTCCCTTGCCTAGTATATTAGCACCACTATAAAGCATTTGTAAGTTCTTTAAAACACTGTATAATAGAGCTAAGGAGAAAAGATGAGGGAGGGATGTACTGACTAATAGGAATGAAGCCCTATGCTAGCTAATTCTGTGGAGCAACAACAGATAATATTTTATGTTTATCCCTAAGGTGAAGGTTAATCACTTAACAATTCCAAATTCCAGTGTGTAAAAATATTGGCAGAATTTTACACTTACGATGAAATGTAAAAGTGTAAGGTTCACATATGAAAGGAATACAGATTCACAACTACTGATAGATACTAATAAAATAATATGGGCAGATAATTTATGATTAAACTTGAGATAAACAATAAAGAATAGCTAGGTCTTACCTATTTTCTAAATTCTTTTTTGCTATGGACATAAGTGTATTTAAAAATCTTTGTTCCACATAGAAACAGAACTACGTATATCATTTGCAAAACAATGGCATTTCAACAGTGCATCAACTTTTGAATGATTTACTTTTTTAGTAGGAAAAATATTTTAGGATATGCAGACTCTGTGTATAGGTTGTATGTCTATCATACAGGTATTACACATAATATACTACTCTCCAATCCCACTCAAGAACTCATCAGCCACTTTGAGGCGCAATGCATCAATTCTGTCAGGGGCATCAATAGTTCAGGACTTACGTTGACAGTTCTTTGCATCAACTGCGTCTCCAAAATATCCATCAGCACAGAGCTCACAGTACTGGCCTGTTGTACCTGGCTTACATTTCAGACAGGCGCCAGACAAGCTGTCACAGCTGCCAGGGATGGAGAAGTCAAGGTTGTCATTGCATTGGCATGGCTGACATGATCCTCCGAGTACAGAAGGTTGTCCAAAATAGCCTTCTGCACACCTAAGGCAAAAAATTTCATCAGTGAGTATTTGGGAGAAATTAATGAAATCCATTGGGGTAATGCTTACATACTTTTCACACTACCTTTCTCCCAGGATATGCTTTCCTTCTAAGTGTTCCTTTTCTCAAATGCAAGGTGATTAAAAAATGTTTTTCCACAAGTGCAGTGTAGATACAAGATGAAATCCTGCCAGCCCCACTAGTAATTAGATTTCAGCAAGAAAAAAAAATCTTGTTACTGGCACTGAAGATGAGACCAAAGCATAATAAGAAATCTGCTCCTGGCACTCTAGAGGAATCTGGGTCCATGTTGGAAAGCCTTTGTAGTACAACACATCATATGTATGGACTCCAATTGGTTTTTTTCTGTACAAATATGTAAGGTTCACATTTGCTTTTTTTGTTTGTGTTGCCGCAAAATCTTGTTATGAGAAAACAGGCTTGCAAAGAAATTCAGTAGTGAGAATTCAAAATTTATTAAACAGAAAATTATAACTCAAAAGTCTCTCATTATTATTTGTGTGGAAGCTATGGGTATCTCTGCATCAATAATAGGTTTGCATGTATTTGCATATCCTCACAGAGGCAGATTTTCACTGAAGAGTCTTTACTGAGAAGCACATATGCCTGTATATTATGGGAACCTGCCAAAGGATAATGCTAAACAGTGCCCACAACTCATATTAGCATGCTCTAGGTTTTTTTTTTAAAAGGACCAAACATTATTTTAGATATTATTGGAAAAACAAAAGTTTATTTATGAGGTGTGGCAGGATTTTTGAAATTATAGTATGAAAAGATCCTTTTTTCATGTTCCATTTTCAAATGCTGCTTCATGTTACAGATGCACAAATACATCTTTATTGGAAGCACCTATTTATATTCTGCTCTGTCTTCTCTTTCAATTGTTTGCTCATGCTTCCTATTAAGCCACACTTGGCAAAAGAGAAGCAAAACAATGTATCTGAAATCTTATGGTCAGGCTAGTTCTGTTATCTGTGTTGTCTTAGCAAAATAAATAGTCTTTTTCAGCAAGGCTCAAAATTGAAGGGGAACAAAAACCATGGGGAAGAATGTAATTTCTATAGTAACACTACTTTATGCTCATCTACTCACAGATGTGTAAATCATTGTGTAGAGAAATGCTCTCTACCATTGGAAGGAGAAATGGTTTAAATCCAGTATATTGTATGAGGATTCTTTAATATCATCACAATTATGGGGCTAAGTCATTAATTTGGTAAGATACATTAATTATTCTAATTTATAGATGCCATAATAGCCTTACAGAATTAACCTTTTATCATAATTTTTAAATGCAATTGTCTTAAATTATGCTCACAAAATCTCTTATGAATTGTGAAAGTCATTGTATAAATATTGCTTGGAAAAACATTGCCACCTACAAATATAATTGCTTATTATCTTTTATAACATATGAACTAACATTCGAGTGCTTAAAATTCCCCCACAATCACTTTAGGAGTGGCTTGACAAAGATAATAGAAAGATCCTTTTAAAGTTTAACCTAATTCTTCTTGCCTCACTTGAAATTCAGAGCTTATGATCACATCCACATATATTCACATCTCATTTTGTATACCATTAAGAGAGCGACTTCGCTCCACTAGAATAATGATATACAATGATCACTATCACAGCCAACAAAACCCCATTATTTTCAGCTCACTTTCCTCAAAATGACTGTCCTCAGAGATGGTATTATATAATAAGACCTGAAGATTTTTCTTTTCTTTTCTTTTCTTTCTTTTTTAACAGGGATAATAAAGATCTTATTTATATTAAGCTTTTATACTGGATGTCACACATTTTACATGCATTGATCAAAGGACTTGAAGATTTTTCTTAACATAGACACCAATTAACAAGTCCAAAATTCTCCCACAATAAAAAAATACCTCAGTCTATAGCAAAATAACTGCAATGAAATAGGATAACTGAAGAAGCATCTAGAAGCATCTGCCTTTTTTTTGTTGTTGTACAAAATAAAAGAGAACTTACTGAATATACCTGATGGATAATTCATATGTCACTTTATTGAAAGTGTGCTTTCAGGGTTTATTATTGATGTATGTGCATGTGTGTGTATTTCTGTACATAGAATAGTATTCTTAGATATTTATAAAAATGTTTTAGTAGAAATTGAGAAGTGATTCTAGGGTCAGTGAATACAATACTGCTAACCATAACTTTTATTAATAATAACAGTGTTTTATCGTTTGATAAAGTTGGACTTAGCTAATATAAATTAGTGTAAATCACTACCTTTTGGTCCTCTTCAGCTTCTCAAAATTTCACTCTACCAATATCAATTTTAATTTAAAATCTCAAGTCCTCTCATTTTCACATGTAAAGTAGAATGAGAACTTTTTTTTAAAAACAAAGAGTATTAAAAACAAAGAGTTTGTTGGATTCCTTGCTAGAGAAGAACACCTTGACATAACTAAGTCACTGGTCTTTTCCACATTCGCTCACTTTTTAAAATCAAATTACAGTATTTTAGAAAAAGACCTTTTAAATGCAGATGACACCCCACATAACACATACAGTTATGGTTGTTTCTATTGATGACTTAGGAACAATGCAGAGGAAGAGAGAAAGAGATAGAGGGTAGATGTAGAGGTAGAGTTGACAGAGATAGAGGTAGAAATAGAAAGAATGGCATAAATGGAGAGAGAGAACAATAGGACGAAAGCAACACCGGTGAGACCTTTAGCTCATTGTACCCCCTCTTTTCTTCAACAGCATCTGCCCTAAATCTGTGGCCTGTGTTTCCATTATCTATGGACTGAAAACAGAGCTTTTATCTCCCTAAGAAAATTAGTAAAGCTCTTGCTTTTCCCCTACCTGCCCCTCCTCAAACATTACTGAGCACTTTCATAGGATGCTAATATAAATAAGGTGCAGTTTTTACTCTACAGTCCATGAAGAAGAAAGATACACTTAAAAATGTAGTGCTGAACTGCTACAGATAAGCAAATACTGTTGCGCAAGCACAGGAAAGGGCAACCTGCTCAGATTAGGATTAATTAAGGCCTCTTTTTGGATGATACTGCTGAGTTTTAAGATTTGAGCAGACAGAGGAGTGGAAGGGTTACAGTATTTGAGGCAGAGGGAACAGAACTGGCAAAGGCACCGAGGGGGGTGGCTGGAGCATAAATCTGAATGTCTGTGCAATAATCCTGCATTCTTATCCTCCATTTGGCCAAATAAGCTAAAGACTGCTTACATGGTGTTCTTCTGCAAGTTGTAAAAAAAAAAGGGCCTCTTTGGGCATAGGCAGAAAAATGAAGAGATAGTAGTCTTTGCTGGGCACTGAGGTACAATAGAGGGTGTGTTGGCAAAAGAGGGAACACTGGATTTGATATCCTAATCTGCCCCTTGACTGAATACTTTTATGTAGTGTGCAAACTGTGGAAGTGCACAAGTGGCCCTGTGAAACCTCACCTGGAATCACAATTTCGCTAATGGTAAAACCAAGTTAGTATATGCGTCTCTGTTTTCTTATTTCCGCAACCCTGTGCTCTGTACCCAGGATTCAAGGGCTCGAGGAGACCGCAACATGGGTAGAGTCTCACCAGCACAGCGATCAGGCGGCAGTTAGACTTGATTCAGAGTTAGGCACTTCTGAGGCAGGCAACAGCTAACTGGGATTTGGGAATGAATATTGAAAAAACAAAAAAGAATTCTTTGACAGTGAATATGAATCATGTGGATAAAATTGTCAGCGACTTTTCCAAATATTAAGCAATTAGATTCAAATACCTTCTGCGTTCTCAGTAGCAATTGTGAAATTAATCTTAAATATTCCCTCTCTCCTCACTTAAGGAGGAGTTGTTAAAAGTTGGCCAGCTAGGAGGGACAGGGTTTAAGGGGTCCATGTACCCCATTAATTTTTGTGTGGTACTATGGATCCTATTGGGTGAACTTGTCACAGCCTTTTTAATGTCTTTCTCATGATGTGTGATATGTTGCTGAGGCTACAAACTTATTTTGAAAGTTGCTTAAAGCCTAGTTGAGCAGGTTATCATTAACACTTCGTTCACTTTTTTCATTTTGTTCTATGTTCTTTTTCATTTCTCTTGATGCTCTGACACTTACCCCTTTTTGCCTATCTAGATACTGTCTCATTTTTCTATTTTTCTCCTCTTGTCCAGATTATAAAAGACTAGAATCTTAGCAAAGTGCCATGATAAATACATGTTCATTCACTCTCTTATTTATTTGGTTTAAAACATTTCCCAGAGGAAAGCAGTGATATCTCAAAGTATGGCTACTTTGGCTCCAAGCAAGAGTTTCCCAAAACTCTAACTAGAGTTCTACATGTAAAAGAATAGCAGTCAATATTTTGCCGTATCTTGTCTTGCTCTATCTTCTTTTTCATGATTTTTCTTCATTCTCTCAATTCAAGCAGCAAGGCCATCTTGTACTAGGTGACAAGGTGGAGGGACCCGGCAGGCAAGACAGAAGCAGCAGAGGAATATTCGGCTCTAAGAGTCACTATTTTTATGAACTTGGCACCTTCTCCTGCAGTTCAGCCTTAAAGAGAAAATGGGATGGAGATGGAAAGGCAGAAGAGCAGTAGTGAGGAGAGCAGAAATGCCGGGGAATCCCGGTGCGGGATGAAAGCAGCGGAAGGCGTCCCGTGCCCCGTGGGGGGTACGAAAAGAGTGGACGGAGTTACTAGCCCTGAAGGTAAAAGTAATCAAGAGGACATGGAGAAGGAAGAGGTCCGCAGAAAGACGCCTGGGTTGGTTATCAGGGCTGGTTGGCCCCACTATATATCTGTTGCCCAAACTACACACTCAGCCACTTATGCGTGCATGTGTGTGCACAGGCAAGCACACACTCATGCACTCCAGGCTTTTGGTCCTAAGTAAGCCTGTCAAAACTTGGCTTTATGTCTCAGAAGCGGGGAGGAGAGGGAAAAGAACTTAATTTTTTTAAAAAAACCCCAGAGATATAACATTGTGTAACTTTAAAGATTACTTGACAGATTATGTTCCAATGCTCTCACAGCTTCTACCTATGGCTAATTAAGTATCAGAATAGAAATTAAATTGAGGTAAAGAATGTAAAGTTACAATTCCTGCTCACCTGAGCTGGACTCTGGATGTAAGATTTTAAATTGTAGATGGTTCAGACACTATTGTCTAACATGCATAGAAAATACAGGGGATGAAGCAAATCAATATAAATACTTCAGAGACTATGCTCACTTATGTAAGTGGGTTTAGTGGCTCTATATGGCAGAGCAGCCATCATTTGTTTATAATACTGCATTTTTGCAGTATTATAAAAGCATGAACTGGATGGTCACATAAAACTCAGAAACACTGAGTTCAACAAACTGAACAGATTTCCTCACTCCAGGAACATGTCAGAACTTTTAACATGTTAATAGGTACTTCCCAAGCTTATGTGATCACAGCACTCTGTTCCAAGAACATCTACAGCTTGAGAAACACAGCTTTGGTTTTCCACTGATGATTTTATGCAGATGATGTGCATAACCTGATTACAACAATCACTTACAGAGTAGATTTGATGATGAGATTTTAGTATTTCCTCCTTACCTTAACCTTTATTCCCCATCCCTCCCACTGAGGCTGACACATTTCAGAAAATGTTTCTCCTGAACATTTTTGGACCCAACAAAGGGACTTTTTGGCTTATATAAATACAGAGAAATGATAAACCCAGAATATTCTTGAAAAATCCTAATCCCAATTCTTACTAGAAAAATATACAATCCCATCCTCTATGTAATAATTATTTAAGACTATTTTTGACTGAGAAACTTGAATTGGAGATTAGATATGCCATTTGATACACTGCATACGAACGTTTCCATCTTTCCTTAACCAGATTAATAAAGATTTCAGACGGGGAATTGTGCTCTTTGTCAGGTATTTCTCTCCTTGGTGACTTTTTTTATTCAGATTAGAATTCTCTCCAGAATCCACTCAACCATCCCCACCCACGTTAAAGATGTGAGTCGCACGGGCTCAGGGACTGTATAATGTACCTGTTCTTATGCTCTGTCTAGCCCTGTGCCCAGCACACAGTAGTTGCTAAACAAATGTAAGGTCTTAAATTGTAGATGGTTCAGACACTATTGTCTAACATGCATAGAAAATACAGGGGATGAAGCAAATCAATATAAATACTTCAGAGACTATGCTCACTTATGTAAGTGGATTTAGTGGCTTTATATGGCAGAGCAGCCATCATTTTCTAGCTAAAAAAAACAGTTGCCTGTCATCAGCCAGAGGGTGTGTATGGGGGGTGGGCATTAGGCATTTGATGTAAATCTGTTCTGGCAATGTTATAGTCAGCTATTATCATAAGTAATATACACATGTCCTCTTTTTTTAAAACACAATTAAAGACCTCCAGTTTCTTGATTTCAAATAAATCCTTCCTGCTTCATTTCTTTCCTTCCATTACCAATTTACAATGCTTCCACACTCACAAGTAGTACTTGTTGCTGCTAGGAGCTGTCAACCATCCACAGACTGCTAACTGCTGGCTAAATGCTCTCTGAGAGATTGGCTCCAGCTTCATTTATGAACCCCCATCAAATAGGGGTGATGGTTGCCAAGAGCACAGGAAAGGATTGGCAGAAATAGCCCTCTGGTGCTAGCCTCAGTGAGGGTGGGTGAGAGCAGGTCACTTTCTCTGCCCCTGAGCCTGCTCCCCCGCGAAGGCAGCGAAGAGGACTGTTTCCAGGGCTAAAATCAGAGAAGTGTTGTGTTTGTCAATGATATCAAGGGAGGATTTTGTACCATGTTCATACTGAAACTGAAATCCAGACAAGTCTTTTCTTTAAAAAGACTTTAGGAGGAAAAATGATCACAGAAATTACATAAAATAATATCTGTGATTCCACAGCAAAGCAGTCTACTAAAAACCAACCAGAATTAAAATACTGCCTTAGAAGTACACAGAAAAGGATATAAATAATGATAATAAATTACATTTTATTTCTATTTTCAAATTATATTTAAGGTAAATTATGAACCACTTGCTGAACTATGAACTACACATTTAAGCCACATTTTAAGGACAAAAAGCTAATTATGAAAAATAAATGGTGTCAATGTAGACAGTAAGATAAATCTTAAAGTGTATGTCTTTCCACTTGAGCAATACTTTCTAGAAAGATTGTAGGTTAATGCTTAACCTTTAAGATTAAAACATTAATCAAACATTCTCGAGTGACTAGAAATTTATAGAGCAATTTCTAGAGAATAAATAAACTATAAAAATATAATGCATTTGTTTGACAAGTATGCTGAGAAACTTTATTTCATCTCACCGAGTGTGGTGGCTTTTCTGGGGAAGTGCAAAGGATGATGATGCCTGTGGTTTTTATAGCTCCCAAGGCAGAAATCATTTTGAAAGACAGTGTAGCCCGTGCTTACCTCTCACAGCGTGGTCCTGTGTACCCGACAGGGCATTCATCACAGATCAATCCAAGACTTCGGTCTAAATGGCACATCGGGCTAAAGCTATGTTGATGTTGTCGGGGAACAACAGGGACAAGGAAGAAGCACATACACAAAGTCATTAGCAGCATATTTTCATTTCTCTTTCTCCAGTACTGTTGTGACAAAAGGGTACAGGCTGGTCATTCTTGTCTCACAGACGGAGATTAGGGTCTGGCCAATTGAGGATGAAATGACACTGCTATTTCTGCAGATGTGAATATAGCCCAGTGGAGAGTAATATTCCAGTGACATGTTATTAACTGACTTTTGACTGTTCTGGGTCTGTGATCATCAGTAACAAGTGGGACTGTGCTGCTCCTTTCTAGGAATTCCCCAGGCCTTGCAAAATACAGCCTTGCATTCTTTCTTGCTAGCCAAGACCGGAAATTGAAGCCTCCCAGAAAAATATGTTAGAGATTTTAGAGAACTCAGTACATGGCAGTGGAAGTGGTGGTAGTAGAGATAATGGTGATGGTGGTGATGGGATTTGTACTTCCAGTGCTGCTACCACAGGTGTGTCAATGGGTGTGTATATGTGTGTGCGCACACATGTAGATTGCTATGTATGTATACTCATGGCCACACTGTTTAACACAGAAGGAAGCTGTAAATAGACTTTGAAAAGCTCTCACAAGAGATCAAGCACACACATTCTGCCTAAATTTATAATAAAACCAAAGGAACCAAAAATAACCTGTCCATTTCTCATCTTCTGTATGTTCCAAAGTTTACCTTTCATCTTAACACCTCTTTCCCGTGTAAGTCTAAAGTAACAGAGTTGACCACCCAGTCTGAAAACAGCCAACTAACTACATGTTAGCTTTACCCTTCAACAACGTGTTCAAATCTGGCCACACTTCTTTGCATTGTGATAGACCCCTCTAACACGGGAAGCCTTACCCCGAGATTGATTGACATTTTGGCTCTCTGAAGAGCCATCAACTATTTTGCATTCTGTGAGTTCTGCTGCTCTATCATTTTGAAAGGAAATGCCCCCGATTAATCTTTCTCCCATTATGTCTTCCCTAAATAGATTTATTTTCTATTATATATGACAGGACAATTCAGTAGACACTTTCTTGATGGCTAAATGAATTAAAGAGAGAACAACAAATTAAACGTTGCCAAGTCCTGATCTCATTCCACTCCTGACACTGGCATGACTTTGGAATACCTTTCTGTGCAGATCAGATCACTGGTGCTATTTTGAATAATATTCCTTTGGCTTAACTCATAGTCATCCTGCAAAGATTTAATAATCCTTATTTTTTGATATTAGCAAGCTATCAGAACCAAGCAGTTCTATTATTTTAAACATTTCAACTCAGTGGAATGTCTAAATGAATTTGTTGTAGTAAGGGGTAAGGAAGGGGGCTTGGTCTATGATATCTTAAGTTTACAAATATTACCCAGATAAAATGTTCCACATTAAGGGGGGTCTGGTAGCTTCCATACACAGTAGAACCAAGAAACACCCAGCCTGTTCTCTGTGAGAGGAGATCGATCACTTAGAAAGCAGCCTGTGGTTTGCCACCTGTGATCCCAAGGAGCTCTCTGTGGCTGATACTCTTGTCTGGAGTGTGCTTACACTGAAGAGGCACGTGTGAAAATAAGAAACAGGATCTTTCCCTTCCTCATCCCGTGATTTGCTATTGTTTTCAGACATAAAAGGAGAGACTGGGTTTTGACAAATCTCTAGAATGTGTATATGTCTTCTTTTAAGGTTGGTATTCTATAAATATTCATCATATGTGAATAATGCCTCTAACTAGAAGCCCTAGTTTTTCCACCCATGTGGGATGATAGCAGTTGAAAGAAAACCACATGAATTATTTTTTAAAATCTTAAATCAGTTTATCATAAGGCATGTGAAAGGTACTTGACAAGGCTTCTGACACTTTAAAACTATTTATAAAGTAGATTTCAAATTTTAAATATACCCATGCATAGCTTAAAACTGACAGAAGTAAAGCAAAATACTCTCATTGACAAAAGTCAATATTTTTTCAAGAAAAAAATGACAATGCATTCAATTTAACTAGATATTTACATTTTCAGAGTGATTTTGCAGATACTTTTATCACATTTTCCAAATTTTTATGAGTTGGGGCAGGCATAAGTTTTCTTGCCCGAGGTCATAGCCAGGAGAATTTATTTAGCATGGGATTCAGGGCTTTTGGATTCTAATCTGATGCTCTCTTCTCTCTTATCCAACCAGCATTCAACCTCCTCATAAGAATTAAGTGTATTTAAACTTTTGGTCATATAAATACTCGACAGGATGCATTTAAATAAATTGTCCTCATAGAATATAACTGTATTTGTGCTTTAATGCTCTTTAGCCAACATAAACGGAGGGTTCACTCCTTTATGGCTATAATTGAAGTTATAGTTATAAAGAAGATGGCATTCAAAACCAAAAGTAAAATGAAAAGGAGAAAAAAAAACATGGAAAACAGGAAATTTCTATAGAATTTGGATTGGCAAATGTAACAACTTGACTGATTTTGCCAAAATATGAAGCTAACTCTCCTGTGACAGACAGAAGAAACTGTAAGATCATTGCTGATTTAGGATGATTCCAAGATTATGTCATTTAACTGTAGCTGGATAACTCAACATTGACAGAATTATCAACTCCATGCCACAGAAAACACAAAAGACCCAAGAACAGCAAGCATTTGCCTCAAATAGGGAGAGGGAGAGAAACTATTTTTGTACTACATAGTAAAGATCTGCAAGTGGAAACAGTTTTTCTTAATGGCTGAACATAGATTTTTAGATAATGATTAATGTAAAGTAGATACATTTGTGTATATATTATGTATAACTAGTATATATGTGAACATATGTGAATGTATTTATGTATGTAAATACATACCCATAGATACAACTAGCTTTGCTCCAAAAATAATTTAATTCTACCTATCAACATACGTACATTACTATAAAATAAATCAATAAGGTTAAAGATAAAAAATTCTAAAAAATAAGATATAATCAAGAGTCTCTTTAAAATACAAAATGCATGTCGTAAGGTATGTTCACTTGATAGTGACAACCTACATACGGCTCTGAGTTTTCCCACTGCTATTGCAAGAGGGAACAAAACACCTCTCGGGACTAAGATGTGGTAGGGGATAAACACTCCTCTCATCACTGGCATAGGATTTCCATTGCTAGGGTTAGACAATCAGGGCTGTTTTGGATTTGCAGGTACAATAGGGAAGGAGAACTTTTAATTGCAACCTGGAACACATGGGTAGGGAAAGAGAAACCAAAAAGGCTGAGACGCTGCCAATGGGTGAGACAGAGCACAGGACTGAGGGGAAGAGGAGAAAAATGAAGGGAACCTCTTTTACTTCAAGATTTTGGTCTGCGCCACATGAATTTTTAAAGTTTCTCGATATGTGTTTTGTTCTTTCAGTTCAGTAATCTCTGTTTTGTACATTCTTTAGAGAGCCATTAAGCAAACATATATTTCTTTATTATCTTCGAATATTATGAAATCTGAATTAATGTCCATAATCGGGTTTTGTCATTAGAATTGGGTTATTTTCTGTGCCTTTGGATACTATAGTTCTTTAAATCTGAATTTCTCATTCTGCAAAGTGAGATAATATAATCTACCTAATAAAGCCTTTCATGCTAAAAATATATGAAGGCAAATTCTTAGCATAGTGGCATAAAAAATCATAGCTGTGATTTAATGCTTTAAAATGCTTTGCTGAACTATGTTGATTTGTTTAAATTTTAAGATATTTAGTTGCTTGTTAAAAAAATTAAACTTAAAATTTCTCATCTTGCTCTAGTCCTTACTTTTGAGTTAGCATATCAGTTGCCAAACACTACAGTCATTTTTACAATGAACATTTATAGTTTGTCTAGTATTAAGTTCTATTATTATTATTATTATTATTTTTTTGCTTTCCTTCAATGTTTCTCAAATTGTTTCTATTTCTATAGCCCAATTGGAAGAAGCACAGAGAGGCTGCCACAAGCAAGCTGTATGATCACAATCAGGTCATTTAATTTCTGTGGAGTTTAGTTTTCCCTTCTGGTTTATGGGACTAGTACGATATATTATAATCACCCATATGGACATAAAACACTATGTAGGAAAGTGCTCTAAATTATCTAATACACTCTAAAATTTCTAGGAAATGTTGAATGTTTCTGTAAATTTATATTTTGCCTTAGAATCATGTAGAGAATAACATTTCCTATTAGAATTACTAATTTTTACAACAATAATTCAATGTGGCCACTTGAGTGAGTACAAGAGTCAGCTCTAGAACTGTTTCATTCTTTCAGAAATTTTAATTTTAGCATTCCTGATGCACATAAAGAAGTATTCCTAATGATAATAGTAGATAGAACTTTCTGATCGCCTAACCTCTGTCCAGACCTGTGCCAAGAATATCTCTAATTTTATTATATAACTAATGAAAGTCTGTGATTGTAACAATGTTATCTATTCAAGCACATCATGTATGTTCAAGGGCAGATAATCATGCATCTTTTCATATAATATTTAACCTATATGCTATGTGATATCAGAAATTAATGAATATAAAACACTTGAAATATTTATACTTTTATCAACTTCTTTAGTTATAAATTTCACAACCTAGTTACAATCTATAGCTAGAATATATATGTTACCAAAATGAGAAGGCTAAGCAAATAGTGGACACTGTAAATAGTTGATAAAGTTGATACTATGTGTATAATTTAAATATATGCTTGTCTGTATTCATACTTCAAAATAAGTATACGAATCTATCTCTATCTTCCTATATGTTTGTTTTATTTAGCAATATTGTGTAAGAAGTCTGGAGCCAAAATGCTTGTGATCTCTAAGATTTACGATCAGGGATTAATGAGATAAATCATCAAGGTAAAATTATCACTAAGCTTTATACTTATAGATGAAGGTTGTAGCAACCTTTAGCTGATTTCTTTTTTCCTTAATATCATCAATCATATATTCATACCAAATTATTAATATTTAATATATTCAATATATTATATTAAATTTATTCCTCAGAGTTTCTAACTCAGATTTTAGCAATAATGACTGTTTAAAAACTTTTTAAAATGGAGAGTTCCCATAAAGCATTGTGTCACATTATTCAGTGACTTTAAAAGAAAATTTAGGTTATTAGATTAAAATGAATTTTTCTCATTACAATTGCACAGTAAACTATTAATTTCCAAGTTGCTCTAAATTTACAAGACTTAATAACTCTGAATATAAACTTCTAGGATTTTTAAAATAAGTGAATTATCACTGTCTCCTCTTTCTACTATGAAAATGCCACATTTAAAGCTGGAATTTAAAATAAGTTACTGTTCTATTCCCAAATCTACTTGTAAGGATAAAATTATTACTTAATAATTTAATAAGTATCGAACATACATGTAACCACTTTGAAAATTAACAGATCTTTTAATACTTAGTGTAACTTATTGATATTATTAAGTTGTCTTTGTTTTAAAAAACATCAAAATCTGCATAATTATACAAAATTGGAATACATGTACTTGAGGAAACAGAATCATTGGACTCTGGACCTCCATCCCTTCGGCACTGGTAAATGGTGTCTTAATGCTAGCTGACTTTTTCCTCTGAAAAACATTTAGAACCCATTGTTAAGGTACATGCAGAGTAAACAGAGAAGAGTAGGCTACGAATTACACAGAGTTCTCTCCCTAACAACCTCTATGCATTTATAGTCATATTGGTCAGACTTGAGGATTAAGCCATAAACTCTACATATTCAATTAATTACATAATTCCAAATTAATGTATTAGGCTGGGATTCATATGGTACCATGAATGCACAGCTCTGCTACTCCCTATGACTTCCACCTGAGAATACAATGCAAATAAGTGGACAAATGCAATCCCTCTGCTTTCTTCAGTGAAAGGTAGTGTTGAACAATGGGTTTCATGTATGTCAGATGGTGCCAGAGAATTCATTCAGCCATAGTGAATGAGTAGGTCAGCTATTGCATAATCAAACCATTAGAAAATACACCAGAGAGCAAGGTTTGTGTCATATTACGGTCAACATAGGTCTAAGTAACCATCAATTGTGAAGGAATGTAATTTGTTCTCCTATATCTATTATTTTCCAGTAGATTTCCCTTTTGCCTTCTTCCCCTTCTCTGACAACCTTGGCTGCCAAAAGATCTTCAGTTTTGTACCCATCCAGGCTCATGCTGTAAACTCTGGAAATGGTTTGATCACTAATACAGATTAATCCAATTTCCCATTTAATTGCATTTAATATTATCTCTTACAATGTAGTATGTTTGTTAAAGAACTCCATAATATAGACTGTAGACAACTGGAAAGCACATGGACTTAAAATTCCAACTCCGATGTTTTAATATTTTATGATTCTGAGCAAGTTACTTGATAATAGTCAGTCCCTATTTTGGGCTTACTATGTCAAATGACTGTTTTAGGTGCTTTGTGTACTTCATAATGCAATTCTCACAAGAGCCTTATGAGAGGGTCCTATTATTACAATAATGACAGAACTGAGACACAGAGAGTATAAGCACATTTTCTATAGTCACACAGCTAGAAAGTATGGAACTCAGGTTTTAAATCCAGGAATTCTAGCTCCAGAATTGGTACGTACCATCATGCTATTTTCCCTCCAGGAGCCTTTTTAAAAAATTCTATAAAACGGGGGTCATGATGCATATTCTATTGGGTTGTTTTTGAGGGTTAAACAAATACCAAATATAGTGCTTGACCCTATGTCGAGCATATAGTAGTTTATTTTCATTAAATATTACTTCTTTCTCCTTTCCAAAAGGTGGAAAATTCTGAGAAAGGTGGGCTGTTTGGAGGAAGACCATGGTTACATGTGGGCTGAAGAGTGAGAAGCCCATATTAATGACAACTTTAAACTTAATGACAAAATTATTCTTAAGTCTTAAGCTTGTAGTATTCATTGACTTTACTTGGTAACAAAAGACTACCTTCATTAATAGTATTTCAGAAAAGACCTTAGAATATGACCATCCTGATAACACTTTCATATTTAAAAAAAAACTGTAGCAGACAGATTTCTTTAAAACACCACTATAAATTTCTGCTATGCAAGCATTACTGTGGAGTTTAGAAATAATTGGAAAGTACATACTATAAAATAAAGTGTATTGATCACTGTTTACCTTTAAGAAGATTCTCAAAAAATTCCTTACATATAAAAGTATAGACATTTAAAATTTTTTAAGTAAAAAAATGTTTATTTTCATTCAACACAGAATGCCCCATTAAAATATGATTTTGGTTTTAAGTTCTTGCATAGATATTTATAAAGATGGCTGTCCTGAAGGAATGTGAGATAGAATAGCGGGAGCTGGAATGAGTATTCCCGTAAAAGGTAAGGGAAAGAGACAGGCAGTATAAGAGGTTATTGTTCTGGGTGAACAATAGAAAAAAGAGACAGAGAGAGGGAGGGAGAAAAGAAAGAAAACTGGATGACTAGAAAAATTGTATGAAGTTTGCTTTAAACTTTTTCAAGATGTGATTTATGAAAAATTAGATGCTAATTATCATCTGTATTTCAATATTCATGTAATTCACAATATAATTCTGAGATACAATATAATGTTTTGAGATAAACTTATACACATACAAGTTGATATTTTATGATAAGATGATAAACCATTTAATTACTAAGGAATAGGCCTGGTGTTAAAAAGTCTACTAGATTGATCTCATTTTACCTCTTTGACGTGGGTTTGTGACTTGTCCAAGATTCAAAAATCTGTAATGTGAGACTGGGACTCAACAGAGCAACACTTGTTAGTGGTCTTTTTATTACAGTGTAAAAAGTCAGGTGTGTTTTTATATGTCTGTGTGTGTGGGCATGTATCTGTGCAGGTGGACATGTGTATATATTTGTATAAAATGTATCTGTTCTTTGGAATTAGTTTAAAAATTCTATTTGATTTATGTTCCTTAGATACTAAATTTCCTAATCTAAAGCTAAAGTATTAAAATTTTGCTATTTTATAAATAGCAATAACTTTAAATAGTTTATATTTTAAAAACTCTATTATATTCCTAAGGATTTTATGCATATATTTATTATTTATTTATGTGTGACAAGAGAAAGGGCATATTCTACATAAAAATGCACTTACGGAACTGGATGGCCAACTCATTAGAGAGGTAAGTTTGTTACTCACTTATTTGATGGGGTATTGAGTGGACAGGCACAGGGCTGACAGTCTTCAGAGGTTCCTTTAGTGGGATCGCCATAGAAACCAGGAAGACATTTATTGCAATATGGGCCACCTGTGTGATCCTTACAGTTCTGAGAAAGAAATGCACATCAAAGTTTATTATTTTGGTCTCAAGCAATAGCATGCTACCAAAAATAGGTCTACAGAGTCATGAGTCTGTTCCCTGCCAGGAAGAATAATTTTCCACATTAAATGGTCAATTTTACAGCTGGGAAATAGCCCTGAAAGTTAATTTAATATCTAGCTTAGAAACTACATGCTAGTTTTAGCATATGCACACTTACAGAAAGATGACTAAAACTCACTATAAATTTTTTCATAATACAGTTCTTATTTCCTTCTTTCTTTAGATTGTAATTTTTTTCTTAAGGAAATACATGTGATTATTCATGCATGTGTATGTGTGTATAGTCATAGAGCCTTAATAAAATATGTTCAATGGTAACTGTAGCTGATTCTAGGTAAAACATCAATTGTTCATCTTAAAACTGCTAATTTAATAAGAACTGTGGCTAATCACACAAATCCTCTGGGACTATAGCCCTCTTACTTCAGAGGTTAATTTGGACCTCAGTGGACCCTGATGATTTGCAAAATGCATTAATGTATTACATCTGTGAGCAGCTTGTTTGACTCATAATTAAACAATGAAAACATGGAAACAATTTTAAATATATTCCAATACATATCGAAACTACAAGGCACGCAACAATTTTCCTTGGATAATTTTTTAAAAACTGAAACTGCATTTTTCTGTCAGTTAGTATTTATTGAACCCATGTCATTTTCAAAAATAAAAAATAAAAATAATTTATATCTTGATTTCTTCATGTTAATTAAAGTACATTCATCAGTTCAGGCTCCGTTCACAAAACTCATCAAGGCTGGTTTAAAGGTGAACAATCCAATTAATCAAACAGAGGAATTGTCTACAAAGCTTCCAACAGCACAATTTGATAAATTTATATCATGTTTTGGCAACATGCAGACATAACTTGCTTCTTCAGCCTCCAATGGTACAATAAAACATACCTGATACTTTTTAAATATCATATAGTATGTATTCATTATGACCTGAAATACATTTTAAATTTTACAAACATATAAAATTATAATTTTTATCATGTTGTAAAGAATTTATCAGTACTTAAGGGTGTAAAAACTTTATTTTTATGATCAATAACCAAATAGGAATAGCTAAAACATAAATTCATTAAAAAATTAAAAAAACATTTTACTCATTTATTTTTAGAGAGGTGGGAAGGGAGAGAGAAAGAGAGGGAAAGAAACATTGATGTACAAGAGGTACACCAACTGGTACTAAAATATTTTTTAAAATTAATACATCTTTAAGGTATTTAAGGGTCAGTTACCCTTTTTAAAAGATAGTATAGAGGTTAACTTCACTATTAACAGTTTTCTAAATAATAGCATATTGGATGGAATGTGCAAAACACGGGTCAATTTAAAAAAAGCTTTCTTCTTTGATTTCATCTTTGTATTAGTTCCTTTCAGTTTTCAAGTTTATCTCATTGTCTATTACTAAAGATTGTATTCTTTTTACAATATTGCCTATTGTCAAAATGACACAAAGTTATATCTTCAAAGACTTAGGGGTTTTAAAAAAATAAAATCATAACACCGATTGTCTGAACCTCGTTGAAGATGGTGTTTCTAAAACTTAACTGAAAACCTTGTAGAACCTAGGGAGCTGTTTTTGCTTAAATACTGATTTACAGGAAAAATAGCATGTAGCAGCTTATTAAATTTCCTAACGTCATATTTAATTTCCTGGAAATAATAAAATTAATCTTTAAACTCAAGTGCTTTTTCAATGGTAACTGTAAAGCTGCCTTAGACAACAACATAATGGAAACCAAAACTGTATAAGATGGAAGTTTCACTCTGGTTACTTTTGCAGGTGTCCTGATACAAAAGTGCTTTCCAAATGTCTGTTCACATCATATATCACAAGAACAATGAGAAGGAGAGAGTATGCAATCTTCTCATGTGGCTTTGAATGTTTCCTGGGTCACTTCAAATGCATTTTGAGTGAAAATGACTTTTTATATAGATCCACACACACTATAATAGGGTTCTGGGTTTTGGTCTGATATAAAAATATATTTTAGTTAATTTCTAATCATATTTCAAAGCCAAAGTAACTAAAAAGCAGTTTATCTATACATTTAATAATTTATCTCTTTAATGCTAGGGGAAAAACATAAATAATAATAAACAAGCTAAAATGCTGATCAACTGAATAGTAAGAATGTCCTTGATGTGCATCATTCAAATATTTTTCTCTTTGTGGATCAGAATCAATGTGCTCAAAATTGGGTATCAGCGCTTAGATATCAATACCATCGTACATGAAGGGCAGGTGAAACTCTCCAGAAAATATCTTACCTGATCTATCTACCAGCTACAGTGGAAAACCCAGAAAACACCAGATTCTGTTTATCATCAAGATCTCCCTTGTTTCTCTAAGGTTCCTCTGTTACTTGAAGGTGGGCTCCTATCTCCCCATGAAAGAAACAGTCAGTAAACTGCATTTCATTAGTAGAAAGCCTCAAATAATTAATGCTCCCTGATTTCCTCTCCTAAAATTATGCTAAATTAAACTATTCTATTCTAAAATAAAAACCAAAAAAACCACTTCCATTCTTGGAAATATCGCAAAGCCAAGTAGGCCAACAGCATGATCTGATTTAATACTAATGAATTCAACATGAAATATTACTATTGGGAACATTGTAAGCCTGGTACTATGATATATTTATTTTTGTCTTTTTAGGTTTAAGTAAAGTAAATCCATATCAGTTTTAGGCTGAATATTTCCTATTGCATGTTAGCAAAGTATTTAAAGGTAACTTAACATTTTTCCCAATGTACATTTTAAAAGCCTATGGTATAATTAAAATCAAAATCACTTAGTCTTTCTATTCAGAAAAATGCCATTTCAAAAATCTACTGCTCTGCAAATTAAGGCTATCGCACTTTATACTGCAATGTAATTAACAAAATCTTATATCGAGAAAATAGAAAGAGCATCAATAATCCTAAATGCCAAATTACATGGAAACAAAAGCCCTGAATTTTCATTTTGGATTTTTCCCAGAAGCTTTTAAGTAAAAGGAAAAAAGTGGGTAGGGGAATGAACAAGTGAAGAGAGAACATTAAGGAATACAGAGAACAGAGTCTGCCTTAAGTTCTACAGGGAGATGAGAGTATGATATCCTCCTAAACTGGCACTGTTTCAAATTCTGTTTCTGCAAAACTAATGAAATGAGAAGTGTTGTTTCAAGCTTCATGCCATGTCAGACAATATAAAACTAACATGCCCTTGAGTTAATCAGAATGGTCTATTCAGCGTAATTCTCCAATACAAAGTCTTAGCAGGACAGACAGTGCTTTAAAGAGCTATTTTTCTTGTTCAAAGTTAGACTTAATTATAAGAGCAAACAGCTCTGATGAATATGTATTGTATATACTTATTATTTTTAAATCTACATATATTTAGTTACATGATGAAATTTTAAAATAAAAGAACATGCTGTATGTTCTCATTTTCAATGCCAAAAAAATTAGGCTTAGTACATAGGTTATATTTCACTTTTCATGTTATGGGGATATAAATCATTTCCTGTTAGAGAAGTACAGTCTATTTTTGGTAGATTTATGGGAGGGATAAAACCATGTGTATTTATGGTAGACCTGCATTTCAGTCATTAGTTACATTTTATTTTGATGTATCTGATCCTAATTTGATTTTTAGACTAATATAAGTAAACACTTCCTAATAACAGGTAAAAAATACCTGTTATTTTGGGGGAGTACATATGAAGGAGCATTCTCAGTTCAGTATAATAATCTCTGTCCAATCACGTCTTGACTCAAGTGTTTAAGTTCTCACAGGTAGTGATGGAACTGCAGGGCCTGCTGAGCTGACGTCAGCACCCACAAAGAAGAAAGCACTTACCAGGCATTCTCCGGTGATGTCATCACAGGAATCCGCATGACCAAAGCATTGACAAGGTTCACAGATGCCACCAAAAATAGTGCCGTTAACTCGTCTGTGCCTAGGCCAACAAGACTAGAAGAAAAATAAGGTTTCAAGTCAGTTTCAGAATTTTTTTTTTAAAGTTTGTCTTTTTTGGATACAGGGAAATATTTAGGCAGCACACTCAACAAACATGCTTGTCAAAGCTTTGTTGTGGTTGGAACATCGCTACAGAGCTATTCCTCCTGACTTTGAGGCTTCGTACTGACCTTAGCGTTATTGGCAGGTATGAGATTAGAGGAAGCACTAGCTTGGTGTCTCTTCTGAAATGGCAAAATAAAGCAGAGATATAAAGAATTGAAATGTGTCAGTCTCAGAGTAAAAAGCACAGACAAAAATAGAAGGAAAAGGAGGGGAAAAAAGCAGCCGACATAAAAGTCTTCTTGAGAGAACATTAGCCTCCCTCAGCACCTAATGCCATCCCAAGGGTTGTTGATTCTCTGAAACACACTACCCTGCCCACATACAAACTGCCCTTAACTCCATCACTTTCAGGAAATCTCTGCAATAATTTGGAATGTAACACCAATTCTTACTTTTGATCACATATGCTGCTAACTTCCACACATATATAAATCGCATCTTTCATTCTTAATTTCCTTTGTCCTATCACGCTTTCTCAAATGTACACAAAATAATTTATGATTTATTTACCATATATTCCCTTGATACTTTGTTTTATGGTATTATTCTACTAGAACTCTTGTATTCATCATTTCTTTTTTAAAGTATGAAACACTTTATCACATAAAAGCAGAAATCTGATTTAAAAAGGATGTTTGGGTCTTAGAATACTTGTGTGTCAGTGCCAGCTCCAAGTCCACCATCACCCTTAATTAAGTTTCCCTTCTGTGTGGGTCACTACAAAGTGGATGGGATACAAAATAAGGTGGGGCGGGGCAAATACTGCTGTCCTCCAGGAGTTTATAATTCCCCTGAAGTTACAATTGCATTCTTTGTGTTATTTACTTTATTTCTGGATGCTTAACTACAACATATCATGAAGAGGCCTTTTTTTCCCAGTTCAGAATGAAAACAACAGAGAAATCATTGAAGTAATAAAGCACACAGAATTGTGTTGTGTATTGTTAGAAATGTTCCTCCTGCCTCAGGATATGAGAGCTCTTAAATTTGAACATTGATAACAAATACATAAAAAAGCGATGTGCTCATATTCATATTTGAAAGAAAAGCAAAAGTAACCTTCCTCTTAATTTGGGTAGTTCAAAAAAGGAGGGGTTACTCTTCTGTCCCTTTCTAATAATTTCTCCCTATTAGAATTTGTGTTACCCTAGAGATTCATTATAGAAGAGATTTCTTTCTGTAATATATATTCTAAAAAAAACTGGGAAGCTACATGTTCAGAAAGAGGTAGAAATTAAGGGCATTGATAATAGGGAGAGAACTGATTTAGTGTTTTTAGGACAAATAAGCATGGAATTGTTATTAATAAGTTTTATTGTCATACTCTGCAAATGTACTACTCACATCAAATCTTCTTAAACTTATAACCTCCTTAGCTCTCTCTCTTGGCCAGTGATTTCACCTCATTAGTCACAGAGACATTCGAAGCCATAGGAAGCCATCTTGCCAGAGACACATGTTTATCTCATTCGCCACTGTCCCCTCTGGAGCAATGGGGGTGGGGCTTGCAGGGTTCCTTATCGTCTCAGAGGAATGTCACTCCACTTGTGATCTTTATTCTGTTACCTATTGCCTTCCTAGTATGCCCCCTGTGCTGTATCCGCGATAGATTTCTTTTCTACTGGATCATTATTATCAGCTCAAAAATATGATCTAGTATCCCCATGAAAAATGAACTAATGGAAATAACAAAAATGACAAAATTATTTAATATCCCTTAACGTTCCAGTTACCTGTTGGCTTTTCTTTTCAGTGAAAAGTCTTACTTCCTCACATCCCTCTCATGCTGCTTTGTTCCATTCTAACCCATCTTGTGCGGCCACCACTCAATTAAAACTGCCCATGTCCGTGTCACCAAGATTCAGGTAGCCAAGTCCAGTGGGCAATTCTGAGATTACATTTTATCTGCCCTCTCGTCCACATTCGTTTGATTGATTCCTTTCTCCCTCAGCACCCTCTCATTGTAACTTTCGTGACATCACAGTCCCCAAGTTTCTGCCTATCCCTTTGCTGTCTCTTCTGCTTCCACTTTACTTTTCCTAGTCTGGAGCTCCTGGGGACTTCGTCACTTTTCTCTTTTTCATCACGTGCTCTCCTAAGAAATTTTATGCAGTCCCAAGGTTGAGGAGGCCTTCCAAACATGTATCTCTAGACCAGACAGATATTCAAAGACCCAGACCTGCATATTCTAATAGTAAATTGAAATCTATACTTTCCAGGGTTTTTCAAACCTAGTATTCCTTAAAGAGACTGCTTATTTCAGCACCCTCCAGCTATTCTTCACCCAGTCTTCTCCAGCTCGGTAAGTGGAATATCCAGTTCCTCAAGGTAGTAATCTGACTCATTCCTAAACTCTTTATCTCTCTTAACTTTCCTGTGGCATGTAGTCTATAAAACACAGGTAGAATAAACATGTCTTTCCACATAGCCTGCCATGATCCCAACACAAACCATTATTATAACTCTCTCCTGCCATGCTAACATTTTAACCATTCTTGTCCCCTATAATACATTTTCATACTATAGTTACAATACCTTTTAAAAAAATATAAATCAAGTTATGGCACCACTCAGCTTGAAGCCTTTCAATGATCTTCCATTGCACTCAGAACAAAATCCCATGTATGCAAAGCTCTGAATGGTCTGCTCTTCCAGTCACATCTGTGTCACTCTCCTGCCTGCTTACCAAGCTCCAGCCATACTTGCTTTATTTCAGACCCCTGTGGACCCCAAGCTCCATCCTACTTCCTCATCAGCCCCTTTTATACAGCCGACCCTAAACTCAGTTTAGATGTTGCCACCTCAGAGAGCCTTTCCCGATGACCATTTATAAAGTAGCGCTTCCCATTTAATCTTCTGACAGTCAATTCTCACCGCCTCTATGGAGGCACCTGTTTATTTTCTTCATGGAATTTTATCACAGTCATTTAAATTTGTTTTCTGGCATATTGTCTAACTTTTCACTAAATGTAATGTCCTGGAGAGCAAGGTCCATATCTGTATTGTTCATCATATTTTCATCCACATCTAGGGTCTAGATTGTCTCAAAATACATGGTCATTAATATCTATTAGCTAAATAGAAGTATGGACATTTCTATGAGATGGTTAATATTTCCAACATGCAGAAGAGAACAGTGAGATTTGAATTTAAAACCTTATTTCTTTTCAGTAATTCACTTTGCTTTCACTTCCTCAGCTGTCCTACCTGTCAAGTGAAATAAATTATGGCGATACTACAAAACAAAGTATTTGAAAAATTAACTATAGAGGAATTTATAAGTCAAGTAGAGATAAAAATATATAATTCTAAATAAATATTGTGGATCCAAGTGAAATAAAAGAGGATCATTTTATAATGGAGTCATCTGAATGGTTTCTGGAAACCTAGATGTTAAGACATCAATGTTCTTTGGAGTTTACCCAGTTCTTGAAAGGTACGTGGGTATTAGTGATAACAAAGCTAGAGTGCCTGGCCTTATGGACGTAATAAAAAAACAAATGAATTCAGGAAGGGATAAGAATGACTAATAGTGAGTCTAGGGCAGGAAGTTTTGATATAGAAAAGAAGGAATTATTAGAGAATAGAGGAAGTCTAAGAGAAACTCTAGAGCTCCAGAATTCATCGTCCTCTGATTCAATTAAATTATTCTGTAGACTTCAAAATAACTTTATCAGGCATGATCGGGCTGGTTCAGGGTGGTATTAGCCATAGACAAAATACCTTTATTTATCAAACAATTATTGTGTGAGAGGCAGAGGACACTTTTATTATTCCTCCTCTTCTTGGTTCTGACTCCTCTACACTTGCATGCTTCTCTCTTCCTACCTAATTGTTACCATTCATACACTTTGACTCCAGGATACTTTCTGTGGCATCTCTCCACTGGAATTGCCCACCTCTTCATATGATTGTTGCACTTGTGTTCTGTACCACTTGCTGGTCTCCTAATTATATAGTGCTGTGATCCAATTTTGCATAGGTATTTGTTTTTTCTCCCTAAACAGATTGTTAGGTCTTTAAGGACAGAGATTATGATGTGATCTTCTTGATAATCCACTCATCATCTAGAGCATAATTTACCAAGGACTCTCAATAAATATTTTTGAAGAGAGGAAAGAAAACACAAAAAGTATAGCCAATTAAACAATTTTAATATTCAGACAAATTTGTATTAATGGGCATTCGGAACTTGTATAAAAGAAGATGAAGAATTACTAAGTATAAAAGAAGATGAAGAGTTTCTGAGGATTACTAATGTGAGAATAAGTGTTAAAGCAAGGATAGGATCAAGGTATTTATTATTTCAATTGAAATAGGAACTTAAAGGTTCAAAGAGAGTTTTCCGGTTTGAAATAAAAACTGTTAGGCTCTTAACAAAAGAATATGTTTCATCAAACACAGCGTGTATTTTACATGTAAAATTAAATTTGGGTTGACAGAGCTAATTCATTTCCATGATTATTTTTCTCTTCTCTATGTGAATTTTGGGAAGTGAGTACTTCAGTGAATCACATTTAGCTTTATCCTAGATAGGTAAATCTGAGCCCTGTGAGAGAAAACACATTTTGTCACAAATATGAATCTAAACCCTGTGAATCCTCTTGATGCATGCGGTATTTTAAAGCGTAAGAGAACTGACAAAGCAATGCCTAGAGTATTTCTATAAATGGCATAATGGAGAAGTGTGCTGAAGTAGAACATCTTGGTACACTCAAATGATTTCTTAAAGGCTCCATCTTTAAGAATTTAAGCTCCTATTTATCTGCAGGCCATGGTCTCTATCAGGAAATTGGTGTTTGCAATTTTTGATGAGGTTTCAAGTAAAATCAGTTTTCAAACTCCCTAAAGAGTATACATAGAAATAAATAAAATATATTACCTTAAAATGACACATTGTGGTATTAAATAAGAAACATTAATATCCTTATGAATCTAGAATACTGAGACAACAATAAACATCTCAAACTTTAGGTACTAAACAAATCAAAGACCTGCAGGGAATTTTCTAGATCAAGGTATTTCTTCCATGTATTATGTTTTTGATATTTTAAAGATAGTGCCCTTTTAGATGACTGCAATTTTGCTATATTGTTAGGAATAAAGTAGAGAGACAGTATGGCACACAAGAATAAAAAATGGAGAAAATTTTTTTTTAAATAGTGCTAAATTTCTGGTAAGTATTATGGTGGAAATAAAGGGGAAATATTTTGAAATATATTTGTTATCATACATCTTATTTTTCAACCAATTAAATAGGGAACAAACACTTATGAAAACATCACATTTTCAGCTACAGTAGAGCAAAGTATCTCAAAAAGAAACATGATTTCGAGAAGACAATATGTGAGTCGCACTCTGTTTGAAAGCCATGACTTTTTGGCAGGCATTCAATTTCCTTCTGTAAGTAATGTACTATCATTTGTTTGTGCAATCTCTGATGTAAAAAAACTCCCAAAAAACCCTAGACTCTTTTTAGAACAGTTTATTGGAGGACATGATGAAGGACCTTAGAATGCACTGAGGATATACTTTTGCAGACTTACTTCACAAGAGGATCCAGTGTACCCTGATGGACACTGACAGACTTCCACAGCTGTTGCAAAGCTTCCTTCGGTGGCATAGGGGACAGCAGATTCAAGGCCAACAGAACTCAGCCTGGGGCAGAAGGAAAAGGAGATGGTAAGTAAGTAAGTAAACAGGCTCCTAAGTATTGTACAGCTTGAGGAACAGTATAGTAACAATGATATAAATATAAACAAGTTCTGTGTTAAGAAATGGCTAAAGAATATCCATAATTTGAAGCTCTTGTCATTCATTATATTAGGTAAAGTCTGCCCAGCCACTCACAACCACTACCACGATCAAATGCTGAAAAGATATGAGATCATTCTTGCTCATTTCTTATTTTTTGGCTGTGTTTTGATTTCCTTGTTTTTTTTGAGATAAACTTTAAAATCACATGTTTGAAAAGATTTTTAAAACATAAACCATTCATATTATTGATTTATGATAACATTTAAACCAGAAAAGCAGAAAGGGACAATAGGAATGAAGTAGAGAAAGAGCATGGTACACAGGATTAAAAAATGGAGAAAGAGTATAAAAAGTATATTTAGTCTGAGTTATTAAATTGGAAAAAAAGATAGAAGAAGAAAGAAAAAGAGAGAGGGGGAGGGAGGAGGGGAGAAGAAAGAGAGAGAGAGGAAGTTATTTTCTTTTGTTTTTTTCTCAAAAATAAATCTGCATATTGGTAGGTAAAAGACAAGCATTCTCAAATGTTCAGTTGAATTAATTAATTTGTTTTGGGCTTAAATTGAATTCATTGTTTTCTATGTCTATGGGTTTTAGTCTATTGGTACTTCTTTACAGTCTGATTTTAACAGAGTGATTTGGTATCACGATTTTTTGGAAAAGCTGTTTTGGCTAAACTGAAAAATGCTGTTACATGAATAAGTAAGTAAATAAATAAATAAATAAACAAACACATATATACATATAGTGTATGTGTTTCCTTCTAAAAATTATGTAAATGATATACATTCTCAATTTAAATAAGTGTTATTGTATATTATTGGCTTTTCCTCATTTTTTAAATGTAAGATTTTTTAGAAAACTTCATCTTTAAGAAAACAAACTCAGGAGTTAGACCAGGATTCATGTCCTCTCTCTGACATCTTCCAGTCCTGTAGACAAGGAGAAATTACTTAATCTGCCTAGGCCTTGGTATTGTCATCTATGTAATGGAGACAATATGAGTCCATAGACCATAAGCTTGATTAAATGATAAAATTACTAATAAAGTTCTTGGTATAAGACATAACACATGTGGGTGATTATGAATTAGTAGATATTTTATATTCTTATTGATTGTAGTAATGGGATAGAATACTATTTGCATTCCCCAAACTAGAGTAATTTTAATGAATTAAAATAAATTTTAAACTTAAGAACACAAAAATTAAGTGACTGCTATTAAAGCATAATGATAATTATTGTTTTTAAAAATGATTGCTAGACCTCCATATCACATCACATGCCATCATTTAAGCATAAGAAAGCTGCAACTGACTCTTGCTAGGGCATGCATTTTTACTTGCTTTTCCAGAGTGGTGGTAGATTTTTATTAATTGGCAATTCACAATTACCAAAAAGCTTGCCAATTTTGAGAATGTACACTGTAATCAAGCCAGAGAACAAAGCTCATTAAATGTATCAAAAAAACGAAAACAAAAACAAAACACCTTTAACAAAGCTGTAAGTTTTTCAGCAACATTTCTAAGATTTTTATTGTTATTACCTCCAGTTTACCAATCCTAGAGCTTTGATAGTATCTTGAAATATGATATGTATGAATCTATGCATCATTAAGAAGTAGAAAATAAAATCAAGTTTAAATCTGAGAAAACAGGCACTGGAATATCATAGCCGGGTATTAAAAGTGCTAGGTGCCATCCTTTAAAGACAAGCAGGTTATCTTTAGCTAAGATCAACTCGCGCAGCACTATTTTTTTAATGTTTTCTTTTCTGGGGTATAGCTTAGACAACCTGGAAGAAGGTCCAAAACTGGTAAGCATTAAAAAATCACTGATTTACAGTGTTCAGGTTACACAGAGATTTTTAGAAAACCTCTAAAAGGTCATTTTTTTTTCATTAAATAACTTGTAGACGAAGTGTCACTGGAAATTTTTTCTTTTTTTAAAATTGAAGTGAAAATTCATATAACAAAACTAATCACTTTAAAAATGTCATTTAGTACATTCACAATGTTGTTCAGAATATGAAATATTCTGGATATTTCATACAGATAGAATCATATAATACTTTTATGTTTGGCTTCTGTTAGCACAGTATTTTCAGGGTCCATCCATGTCTTAGCATGTATCAGTATTTCATTCCTTTTTATGGCTGAGTAAAACTGTATTTTATGAATACGCCATGTTTTGATTACCTATTCATCTGCTGATGGATGTTTGGCTGTTTCCATTTTTTGGCTATAAAACAGTACCACTATAAACATTCATGTACAAGTACATTTTGAGTGCCTGATTTTAATTCTTTTGGGTATACACGTAGGAGTGGAATTTCTGTATCTGGAAATTTTTCTTAACACAACACAGGCTTTGGAAGAGTTACTAAACTAAGGGTAGCTCTTGCTCATGTTTACATGCGCTCATGAGCTACTCCTTGAGAGCGGAGACTCTGTCGTGTCATGTACATACCTGGCTTAGTCATCTCAACATATGCTCAGCCCACTTTTGTTGCTTGAATGATAGACAGAAGGATGGATAGATGGTGAATACTTGGACAGATGGATGAATGAATGGGTAGGTACAATACTAAATACATGAATAAATGAGTGGATAGATAAGTGGAATCTAGTTACGTTACTAATAATAGTAACATACTCCATAACAAATGATACACTAAGCTTAATATCCACATTTCAGATGAATAAAATGAAATAAGTAGAAGACATTACTTATTTGATGGAATAAAGAAAATAAATTGAAAAATGTTAGAACCAGGTCTTCAGGCCAAAGGCCAGATATGAATGTGTTATGACACCTAATTGCCTTCAATTAATGAACTATCATATAAAAAAATATTTATGATTACTTTAATTTCAGAATTAGATTTCATGATTACTATACTAGTTACTTATTATATGAAAGACTGTCACAGTTTACTAAATAGCAGGCTAGTCAATTGTATATAGATATAGTCCCAGGATTTCCAATATAAAATTGATAGGTAAAATGTAAAGAAAGTATTAGAGAGTTACAAAATTAAAAAAAAAATGAGTGAGTACTTTAAGAAAAATTTAAAATATAAAACAAAAAAAGAAATATTTTTAATGAACTGCCAAATTTAATTTGTCTTTGAACAACAGATATTCCTCTCCTTAATCTATGAAACCATTCTGAGCTATGAGAAATTTCGTCATACAAACATCTTTCCCAGCAATATCCCGCATTAGTATTCACTGAGCAACTCCAGTGTTCATTAGGTTCTGCTATTTGTTAAATGAGATTTTAATGTGTTTAAAAGTTTTCAGTGTTACTCATGAAGAAGGCTGCAGTTTTGTGGTTTTTTTCCTTTAATATGGTCATTTTCTTTTCTTGATACCAGGCTGCATTCATTTAAATATATAATGCTGGCAATAATAAACTACTAAAGTTTAGAGATGCATGAACTATTAAAAATTTGCCAACTAAGTCAAATGTTTTAGCTGCCTATTTCTCCTTATTATTACAACTTAGATATACAGATAAGCTGATGGATGAAGAGAAAAGACATAAATATATAAGCTAGTAATAAAAATGCTGAAACATTGTCTGGGTACTGACTTAAAGGTTGTTCTCCATAATTTTGTTTTACTCTATTTTCCACCAGAGTTAGATATGTTATGGTTCACTAAAAATAAAATTAAAAATTAAAAAATCCTTTGAAACAAGATTTTTGTCTTAAAAATTTATAAAATATTTTTTTTCTATCCACTTTTTAAATATTGACCTTCATTTAATTTTACTCAAATAAATGTTTACTTTGGGAAGCCACCATAGATACAGATTTTGTTTCTTTGTTCTATTTCATTTGTCAAAACATAGATGATGACTCAGAACTCTTTTTAGCTTCTGTCTTGCAGAGTTTTCACCAGGCACTAAATCTGAGGAGCCTAATAATTTTCACTCCCTCTCTGAGAAGGTAAAATCATTCGGTGGTCCTGTCAATGTGTGAGTGGGCCAGCTAAGAAAGAGCTAAACATTTTCCTCTAACATTTTCAATCTTACATCAAATAAGGGAAATAACTGACTGAATTTGATACTGTTGCAGCCATTTATCAAAAAGTATATTAAATGCTAATATCAGAATTCATCTCTTCCTACCTTAGTCCTACCAGTGTGCACTGTGCACACTTTATTACACTATTATAGTATTGTAAGTGTATGTCTGCCTTTCATATTGGACTTGGCCTTCTTTGAATTCAATGACCACTTATCCATCTTTGCATCCTCTTTGCTTAGCCTAGAACTATCACATCGTATTAGTACTAAGTGTCTGCTATCTTCTGTGCGTTATAATGTGAGCTTGACAGACATCTCATTTAAGTATCATGGAACCCAACACAGCAATTGTGTTTCTATCCACATTTACAAATGAAGAACCTGGGTCTCAGGGAAGTGCCTTGTCCATATAATACAGGTAGCAAACGGTGCAGCACAAATTCAAACCCAAGTGTGACTCCAAAATCAATGATCACTGTGCTACCTTATGTTGCCTCCCAAAGTGTGCTAGATAGCATGGCAGGTATTTTGGATACATCATTTTCTTACTTAGCCTTCAATCTTGTAAGTTAAATATTGTTTCTGCTATTTTATAGAATAGGGAACCGAGACTTTAGAAAGATACACAGGGAAGGTGCTCAGTAAATGTTGGCAGACTGAATGAATCCAATATTTACAGAATAGATTTGGAAGGTAGTCAAAGATTACGGGGAGCAAACACATGTGGGTTTAAATCCTGGCTGAACCTGTTACCAACAGCTTGGTACTTAGTAATTGCATACATTTATTTAGTCTTACAAGTCCTCATCAGTATAATTTCTTCAAATTATACAGGCAGTCACTTGCATCATTAATTTCAAAAAATAAAAAATATATATCGACACTATGTCTATAATCATCAAGGCTCTTGTTTATATGGAATTTTTCTAGATGATTTATTATATAAATACTGAGTAATATTTTTGATACCAATAAAAGTCCCTCAGATTTACTCTAAAAGTCATGTGAAAGCACCTTGCCTTAAGAAATTCTGTATTTATTTTGAAGCAAAAAAGATACATGGGAGCATCACAATAAAGTTATGATGACTCAGTTATGCTGTGGTAATAACTCCAAATTCTCAGAGGATTAACAGAAAACAAAAGTTTACTCGTGCAAAATCTTCTGTCGTCCTGGGTGACTGTTCAGGGCAGCTGATCTTTATGTGCCATCGATATTTCAGGCTGTTTTGATTTTCTGGTAGGTCAGTAAGATCTAGAGAGCCTCATACTAGCAATTCAATGATTTTTTTGGTGGGATAGGGGGTGATACGTCACTTCAGTTTACATTTCATTGACCAGACCAAATTATATGATTACCATCTACCCTCAAAGCTTAGGGAAATAAAATATTCTAAAGGCAGAGATTAAAAATTTGATGAACATACTCATGTCTATTATAAAGTAAAATACACTTTTTTTTTGCAAAGTTCTGTATTGAATAAGTGTTGAGGAAATGTTGAATAGGCTCCTTGCTTGAGTTAAATATCAAGGATGCTACTAAATCTAAGGTTTGGAGAAATTAAAAGAGAAAGATGAGCACTTAAGTTTATTTCTCTTACATTCTTGAGAGGATAAAAACTTTTCTATATGTATCTTCATCTCATGAAAGAGGACAATGAGAAGGAGAACAACTAATTTTATTGCATGAGCTTCTCAGGATTCTGGAAAAGAATGACAGCAAAACCACCACAATTTTAGAAATATTAGTACGTGCTTTATTCTAGATGTCTCCAAGTCTTAATGGTATTTGGAAAAACCATTAATCTTTCGAATGATGCAGGTCAGCTAAAAATGCATCAGATTTGCAAGCTGATTTCCTTTTAGCAAAGTGATTTTGCAGCCCTCGTATTCCATTCTCATGGTAACCTTTCGGGGCTGGCAAGCAATCATCGTCCCTCTTGTTTCACAGATGGGAGACTGAAATCCAAAAGGGGCAAAACTACGTTTATGGCTAAAACTATGAAATAGCTGATCTTTGGGCAAAAGTCAAAATGTTGACCTGCACCCAGTTTTCCTTTCACTATTCAATGCCACCTACAGTACTTTATCCTTATTCACAATTTCTCTGTCCACAGTTTCAGTTTCTGAGGTTTCCATCACCCACGGTCAACCATGGTCTGAAATACTGAATGGAAAATTCCAGAAATAAACAACTCATAAGGTTTAAATTGCAAGTTGTTCTGACTAGTGTGATGAAATCTCATCCTCTCCACCTCTGTCCTGCCTGGGATGTGAATCATTCCTCTGCCCAGCTTATCCATGCTGTACGTACTACCCACCCTGCAGTCACGTAGTAAAACATTTGCCTTGGTTATCAGATCGACAGTTGAGTATTGCAGTACTTGTGTCCAGGTAACCCTCATTTTACTCAATAATGGTCCTAGAGCACAAAAGTAGTGATACTGGCAATTCAGATGTGCCCAAGAGAAGCTGTAAAGTGCTTCCTTTAAGTGAAAATATGAAAGTTCTTGACTTAATAATCGATGGCAATGTGTTGGCCCAGAAAGCATTGAGTCTTCTGATGACTTCAGTAAGGGATTCCCTGAAACAAGGGACACCAAGCCACTTACTGCAAATAAAGGATGGTTATACAGATGGATGGAATAGGTTTGACTTGAAAAATATAAAAATTACTGGGGAAAGAGATTACTTTTACATAACTTTTGTTACAGTATATTATTTTACGTGTCCTATTATTAGTAGTTATTCTTGTTAATCTCTTCCTGTGCTTAATTTGTAAGGTAAACATTGTCATAGGTATGTATGTATAGGAAAAAAACATAATATATATGGTTTGGTACTAACTGCAGTTTCAGACATCCACTGTGGGTCTTGGAACATATCCCCTGTGGGTAAGAAGGGACTACCGTAACCACGTTACTGAAGGAAGCTAAGCATTTGTTGAGAGAAGTATCACAGAAGTAAATCCTACTTAAATAATTCTAAACATGCATTTTTTTTAGATCAATTTACTTGTGCTTGCACACAAACTGTATACCAAGTTAGAAGCCTACTGTGCAGGACCAGTTCAAATCAATTCACATAATGTTTTACAAATATAAATCAATCTGCTAGCAGATCAGAGATACGTAAAATATAACAAGCTTACTGACTCAGGATTCATGCTGACTTTCAGCTCACCTAAAGTCGGTAGGAGTTTCAAATCTGACATTGGCTTTTACTTCTTGAACCATAAAGCAGCCACCTGCTTGGATTAACGCCTGCATCGGTTCACATACCCATGCTCTGGGAACACGTCGCTCGTGTGTGAGAAAACTTCAAAAGACTTCCAATGAAACTGATGATTTTAAGATGGGTAGACACTGAAATTATCTGACATAAATCAGTGGGAAATGCCTTTGGATGAACTAGTCTGAGAAGCAACGCTGACAAAAATAAATAAGCCTCGTAGCCACTTTTTGTCAATTTGGTTGTCATTCATTTTGAAAGCCAGAGGACTCATTTCTTTATACGGTTTAAACATCATGACAATCTCTATTTACTAAATGGGGAAAAACATAATTAATTCCTAAGTGCTGCTTCACATCTTCGTGGCATTTTAACCCAGCTAGCATTATTGCCTATGCAAAGAGGTACATTGTTTGGCAATGGCTCTGTTTATGAGTCTGCAGTTCCCTCCTATGGGAGATGGCAATGATGATCACACTTAGTTGAAAGACAAGCTAGGGATAGGCGGCATGAGCAAATGAGCAAATGACGGGGCTGGGAGAGCATCAACAAAAAAAAATCCTCTCCTAGATAAGCCAGTATTGGAGACATTGCTTTGATTTTGGGTAGGCCAAGTTGTCGCTTGGGGTCAAATTTAATCATTTAACTTAATCTGATTTAAAAGATAGTTGCCATGATAGCTTGTTACTTATTAGTAGAATAGAAAAGGAGCAAGAAACAGAGGTCATTCAGACACAGGTGAAGTTTACATTTTGTCAGACAAATGCCATTGTTTTAAAAGGAAAAGCCTATAGTAAGTTTGACCTGGGCACATTTAGTTCAAGTCAGGGAGTTCTCTCTTTAACCAAAAAAAAAAAAAAATATGGAGAACACATAGTTTTCACCATGACCCTAAAGGTAGGCACCATTTATCTCTACTTTATACTTGAAGAAACCAACTTTCCACAAGGACCAAATACTTGCCAAATGTCACACATAAAATCAGCAATAGAGCTTATTGAATTCCTTGTCTGGTTGTCTCCAAATCTCCTCCTTCTTTTACACCATGCAACTTTTATAGTCTTACAGCACTTTATAAGGAGACTTGGGGTTATTTAAATGAAGGTGCTTGTATTTCTTATTACAAATTATATACGGTTAAGTCAGTAACTCATTAATTAATTAATGGAAGAAAATATCTTACACACCACTTTTTGAATATAGTTATCTTGGAATTACATATCTTTAATTCCATACTACCTGAGTAATCATAAAGGAGGCTTTATTTTTCAGTATAGCATTTCTCAGTTTAGGGATCTTTTTTAGCCCTTGTTCTGGCAGAATTGCCAATGAATCACCAATACTAATAAAGGGCTAAGTCAAATTCATTCTAGGTATTTAAAATCTTAAAGCTTTAATATAAACACCTTATAGAACACCAGTCCTCCATTATTATCTACAAAATGAGACAATAATTCCCAGAGATCTTCAAAGTCATCCTGACACAGGCACGTCTGCCCCAAGGTAACTCCGTAAACACTGGGAGATGCAGTTCTTGTGCTTACCTGAAGATGGCATCCACCTCAAGGCTGTCTGTGATTTGTATGAGGACTTTCTTTAAATCCGCAAGTACTGTCATGAACTCCTTTCTACCGACTGGAAAATTTGTGCCGTGTATGGTAAATAAATCTTCTTTGAGTGTCAATACAGTAACATGGTCTTCAAATGGTTTCAGATACACCTCATCTTGGGCTGTACTGATTCTCAAGTCAGCTCCCTAAAGGGAAAGAGAAAGTATCAAAGGGTAAACCTGTGAAAAGAGGGTATAAAAGGGTAAAAAGTGTCCGTGTTTGAACTCTCCGCTTTGTGTATTATTGTCAGTAGGTTTTTAATTGCCGGTTCGCTCTCCCTGTCATTCAGCATATTTCTGATATACAAATGAAAGAGAGAGAAGGCAATTTAAATAGTAGCCTTAACCAGATGCTTTACAAAGTATAAGTTGCTTGCTTATGCCTGACCTTGTTTCCTCAATTAATTAAAATAACAGATACTTAGAAACTCATACATGAATGTGATTACAAACATTTTGATTTTTTACCAGTGCACAATTGCGTATTTCAAATATATTATTTTGTGATGAATGAGGTTGTATAAGAAAAAAAGGAATAAAACTTTGAATAGTTATTAAGTTATTGTTTTAAAGGCCTTTTTTGACATTGAAAAAAAAAACAAGAAAAACTCTGCATAGGATAATGGTATAATGGGGAATGTATTGACTCATTTATGACATTCAGATTATCCTCCTTGTCTTGGTTCGTTCATATTAATGACATATAATTTCTCACCATTTTACACTTAGAGGACCCTTTTATCTCAAAGGTATTCCAAGGTATACTTCTAGTTTCATAGACACACATACACATACGTATATACATATATACATATATACTGATATATGTTATCCAGTCCACTTCATCTAATATTGGAAATATTCATTTTGGAGGAAATTTCTGTCATTGATTCAGAAGTATGAAAGGTCCCTTTAAGATACCAGATCCCCGGGCTCCATCAACATTGATCCATTTGGGATCATAAACATGTGTGCGAGCATGTCCCTTTGGCTGTGTGAGTGTTGGAGGGTGGGGTGTGAGAAAGGGCGGGAGGGAGCCTCTAAGATAACTTTGGGCTTCCTGAATATTAGAATTGCTTATGGCCCTCCAGATCCTGACAACAGCTTCTCCCATGTCTTTCTTACCTAAATTATGAATTTGGAAGTCAAAATTTATCCACACCTAAATAAACAAGTTCTCTCTTTCATTTACTTCTGACTAATACAAATGAAATAGTCAAATTCTACTTGGAAGCAAGGGGAGATGGAAAATATACAACTATGTAAATCAGCATTTGTCTAAACAATTTCATCATACTTATGTTCTTGGGAATATGACCATTATGTTTTTAATTTAAATTCCAAATCTGGTCTGAAGATCTTCTTTATTATTGAAACCCAATGAATAGACTGAGTTTGTTTAAGAGTGAAACATAGGACTGGCATAGGAAAAAATTTTCAAGATATAATATTTTTCTATTATATTATGTAAATTAATGTCAAACCAAACAAGTAAGGAATAACCTTACATAAAATAAGAGTGTAATACAGTTGAGCATAAATGGCCCTTTTTGTACTCTACCTCTAAGATAACCAGAAGCTGAAGTATGTGTTCTGTATCTTCTTCTTCTTCTTCAAGGTCATATGATATGGTAAATGTTAATTGTCCTCCAGCTGCGGTAAGCTACAAGAGAGGAGATACGTAATCATTACAAGACAGGAGGTGGGCTATTAAATCATATTTTATTTATTATTTTAAAATCATTTTATTGTTCTAGAGGGCAGGATTTGGAAAAAGCCAAGATCCCAAGAGTGCAGGGTAAGAATGACAGACATTTCTTTAGGAGTAACCTTTATATAAACCTTAGCAATCAGCAGCAAGCCTGACACAAATATCAATTCAGGTATTATTTTCCCCAGTATTGCAGGCTTGCAGAAATAGGTTAAGTTCCATGAAACCAAACAGAGCCTTTTTTGTCATTTTCCTAGTCTATAGCTTGAGCTTTACAATTTCCAAAAAGAAAAGGATCTTTGTCAAAATTGGGAGATTTCTAGCCATCCCTGAGGGTCACTCACTTTCCGAGGGTCTAAATGCTTTTAACAAAAACATCACTCCATTTGACAGGCACTTTACATAGACTCTAAGCTAAGCTGAGAAATTCTGTTGGTCAAAAAAATAAAAGAGTAGCATCAAATTTTATATTATGATAAAATGCAATCAAAACTCCCAAATAAAATACATTTTCCCATGTGCAGTCAATTATGTTTAGTTCGAATGAATGCTATTACCCCTTTTCATTAAAGAAATGTCTTTTTTTCCAATATGCATTCTAAGCCTCATACAATGTATGCTTGAGGTTTACATCTCCCGACATTGACAGTCACCTTGTAGAAAAGAAAAAAAAAAATAGGAAAGCAAGATCACTTATAGAACAGGAGTCAACATTGGAGTTTGAGTGACAGATTCAATGCAAATCCTGTTCTCTTTTAAAACAAAATTCCACTCCAGCAGTGTAAATAAAGATATTCATAAAACAAAGCTGATGATTTGTATTCTGCTGTTCCTTCCACGCTGACAACCAGAGACCCAGCATTGCAGCCATTGGCTCTCTGTAGCCTCTCAGGGCAGAGCCTGACCACAAAGCACTTCCCTGGGATGCACTGGATGGAGGAAGAGGAACCTGATTGTCTCAAAGTTGTTCCACAGGGAATCACCCATAGCTCACTCTGATTGAACAGAGTTTTTAAATTGAAGCTCTGCAATGTCTTCTAAGAGCTCATTATGTGGATGGAGCTCTATAGGAAACTAAATTTCAGAAAACTTTTATTCCCCTGACTTGGTTAATCTAATGTCTTCTTATATATAAAATAATAAATATCTGTCTGGACTATAGCACTTGGCATTATTGTGAATAATGAGAGGTGAATATATGTAAAAGGTTTTGGTTCTATTAAGATAAGCATCCAAAATATCACATAGCATGCTTGTTCAAAATCAGCCAGATATTTTCTCAGTGAGAGGTGTCTAAAAAGGCAGCATAAAAAGGATACTTTATGTATTTCAAAGAGGACTGAATTATTTGGAATTTTCTAAATTAATAAAAATGTGTAGCAGGAGGTAGGGACTGAGTCTGGGAAGGATATTGGGACATAAATCTATAATGTTGCAAAACATTTGAGCATCCAAATACATTTCAATTAATTAAATTTGGAACATATGTTTTTATTTTTCTGGAATATGGCCCCCACCACTTCCCAAAAAAGAAAAAAAAATCAACTATAATTCTCAAAATTAATTTAAGAAATTACCATACATATCCAAATTTTAAAAAAATCCTTAGAATTAAAGGTAACAGAAGGTAATTCCCTTTTTGCCAATAAAAGAGCCACAGTATAATTTCAGTCTCCAAGCTTTTAAGACTTCAGGTGAAATAGAAAAATTGTTTCTTACAATATTTAATTTGCTAATGTTTCCATACATATTTATAATACTTATAAAAATCATATGGTATATAAAATAATATAATATGGGAGAAAAATGAAGTTAAAATTTAGAAGAAAGGAACAAATAATTATATAGACAAAGAGAGGGGCCTAATGCAAATTTATGATAGTATAAAGTATAAACTAAGGAGTAGGATTAATTCAACCTATTATTCCGAGGATTAATCATAATAATAGAAAAGAAAAAATTATTAAATATTAAAAATTGCTTTTTTACTCATATTTAATAAAGCATTTTCCACCAACTATTTTTATGCATCTTTGATACCCATGCTTTGGCATTTATTAGAACCTGTTTTTGTATCATCTAAGAATTTTCATAAATGAATTCATTTTACTTCCACCTAAGTTATGTGAAAAACAATTTTTGACAGATATATACCATCCCAGATTTTTTTCTCAAGGCCCTAATTACACATTTCTATATTATTAGAATCGGTGTCTTTTTCATTTATCCTAGAGGTGTACGTTTTTGGTCACCTCTATACAACTACTTAGTCAGAGACTTATTTAAATAATATTTTAATATGATTAAGATATCCTGATATACTTTAGGAGAAAAATCCTGATATGTCTCCTAAAGCAAGGGACATAAAGGAAAGAATAAACAAGTGGGACCTCATCAAAATAAGGAGCTTCTGCACGGCTAAAGAAAACATCAGCAAAATGAAAAGGGAGTCATCCGTATGGGAAAATATATTTGCTAATGATACATCAGATAGAGGTTTGATCTCCAAGATATATAAAGAACTCACTCGTCTCCACTCCAAGAAGACAAATGATCCAATCAAAAAATGGGCAAAGGACCTGGACAGACGCTTTTCCAAGGAAGAAATACAGAGGTCCCAGAAGCATTTGAAAGGATGCTCAGCACCACTAGCCATCAGAGAAATGCAGATCAAAACCACCGTAAGGTACCACCTCACACCGGTCTGAATGGCCATGATAAACAGATCAACAAACAACAGGTGCTGGCGAGGCCGTGGAGAAAAGGGAACCCTAGTACACTGTTGGTCGGAATGCAGACTGGTGCGGCCATTGTGCAAAGCAGTGTGGAATTTCCTCAAAAAGCTGAAAATGGAACTGCCTTTTGATCCAGTGATTCCCCTGCTGGGACTATACCCTAAGAACCCCAAAACGCCAATTCAAAAGAACCTATGCACCCCAATGTTCATAGCAGCACAATTTACAATAGCCAAGTGTTGGAAGCAACCTAAATGCCCATCAGTATATGATTGGATCAAAAAATTATGGTACATTTACACAATGGAATACTATGCAGCAGAAAGAAAAAAAGAACTACTACACTTCGTGACAGCATGGATGGAACTAGAGAGCATTTTGCTAAGCGAAATAAGCCAGAGGGCAAAAGACAAATACCATATGATCTCACCTATAAGCGGAACCTAACCAACAAAACAAAGGTGCAAGGAAAATTAATACTAGCAACACTGAAAGAAAAAAGAAACCAACAGAGACAAGAGGGAAGCAGGGAGGGGTGGGCGGGGGAAAAGGAAGGGAAGGGGCAAGTCGAGGAACATATAGCAAGGACTCATGGACAAAGCCAAAGTGGGGAAGGATTGAGGGAGGGAGAGGGGGGAAGGAGGGCTGGGGAAAGTGGTGGGGGGAAGGCAGAGACAAATGCACTTGGAAAAATAAATTAATTAATTAAAATTTTAAAAAAAATAAATAAAATGGGGGAAAAAGAGATATCCTACAATTTAGAGGCTGTATCCCTAGGAATAATTACTTACTCATTCTCTGCTAAATTCTTTTGCCTCTATTTTTCCTTTAACCCCAAAATCTTTTAAACCAAGTAGCTCCTGCTATTATTTCCAGCTAACATGTCTTCCCCAAAGAGTACATAACCAGTGTATGAAAGTCTTTGTAACAGGTCAGTCATAAGACAGCACTTCTCTTCTGAGGGATGGTGTTTTGGGAGCAAAAACTTTAAGAATATGCAGAGTATAAATGTTTCTTTTGTGTCGGTGTGGATGAAGAATTCACTGCCTCTTCTTCATGTAGCTACTGCTCCATCTCCCAAATGCCACCTTTGCTGGACTCCTCCATGCCCCTGCTTCCCCACTCTCCTATAATCCTTTCAAGTATCCCAACCTTCATTCTCTACATCAAGTCCAATGTGCACAGTGCATCCAGTCATCAATTGACTTTACTTTTTCCTCTACATATTATTTATGGTTATGTATTTTTTACTGTCAAACTCTGTGATATGGGGTATAACACTCATTTTCTTCATTCCTACCCATTCTCCCATTCTTATTTTATCTACTGCACTCTGTCTTTCACCCCTAGTACTCTATTAAAGTACTCTTTGAAAAATCATTTATCAACTTTATCCAGCAACCACTAATGGATCTTTTGTTCAGCTTTATTCTTAATCTTTATGTGACATGTAATAGTTCTTAAGATTTTAACTTCTTTGTCTTCTATTGCACTAAACTGTCCTGAGACTCCTCCTCCAACCTGGTCATACCTCATCACATTTATAAATACATTTTTCTTTCTTATTGTTTATTCATTGTATGGATGTCTCCAAGACTCTTACTCCTTCTTAGTTATTTATTCTGATTGACTTTTCCATTCTTTCCATTGACTGAACTATGTTTATACCTAGTACCTCAATCTATACCTTCCATCTTGTGCCGTGTCCCTATATTAGTTTGCTTATTCTTCCATAGCAAGTACCAGAGACTGGGAGGCTTAAACTACAGAAATCTGAAATCAAGGTATCAGCTGGGTAGGTTTCTTCTGAGGCCTCTCACATTGGCATGTAGATGGTCATCTTTGCCTTCTGTCCTCACACGGTCTTCTTCTGTATTTCTGTCCTTATTGCCTCTTCTTAAAAAGACACCAGCAATGTTGAATTAGGGACCATCCTAACTATTTCTTCTTAACTTAATTACCTCTTTAAGGAGCCTTTCTCTAAATATAGTCACATTCTGAGGTTCTGGAGATTAGGACTTTAACATATAAATTTGTGGATACGTACAATTCAGCCTTGAACAGTCCTGTATTGAGTGATTGTTCAATAATGTCTCAAACACTCAAGGTACCCCAAGTTAATCTCATTATCTGGATCTTCCTAGGAGACAAACTTGATTATTTTCCCAACTTTCATGATTTGGTCAAGCCAATTGCTTTATTTTTCTATTTTAAATT